CATTTCAGTGGAGATGTGGTTGAGCAACAAAAGAATGCCCGGTATATCGATATATATGCTAAAAGGGTGCAAGGAGAATGAGCATTTCTTTCCCTGACATTGTGCTCTTTTAAAATGTTCGCTGCAGGATTTCAAATACATTACAAAGTTTGGATTACGTTTTTTTTTAATACCGTGTAATTTATTCTAGCTTTTAGCTAGGGCATGATGGTTTTATTTGTTTGTAACCGTTATAGAAGTATTTTGCTATGAAACGGACGATACTTTAGATTGTTTAGATAGTTAATTTAGATATATAAGGTAATTTTAATTTTTTATTACTTTACAAACTCTATAACAAAAGTTTTAGGAAAGGAAAATCTGTAGAATATCCATATAACTACTGTTTTTTTTTAAATTAAAATGTACATAAATAAACTGAACATTCTAATCGAAAAATAGTTGGCTTTGAACCTGTACTTACAGGTAAGCGGTATGTTGTAATACATCAAACCTGCTGCCGCTGTTTATCTAACACGTCAGCGTCGCTTTTTGCTGTTTTACATCGTCTTACTAAGAACTTGTCAGAAATGTTTACATGAAAATCTTTAGTTTTCCTCAATAATATGTAACTGCATCATAAATAAATAGTTTTTAATGATCTGCGATCGTTGTAAACGCATTGAGACGACTTTGCAAATGTTTAAACCATCAAATCGTGATTTCTGCCTGTAAATAGTGTAATATTTATATTATGTATGTATTCAAAGTTATATATGTGTAGTGTATCAACTACCTGGTATTCATAACACAAGCCTCGTAGCTTACCATGGTACTAGATGGCGCTGTGTGCTAATGTAAAAAAAGTACTTATTTATTGCGGATTATTTACTATTTATATATTTTGTCCATTTAGAGCAGGTATAATCAACCTGCGGCCCGCGGGCCGCATGCGGTAGCATCAAAAATCGCATTACTTATAACATATCTTTGTTAAAAAAGTTACTACATCGTTAACTTGGAATTACGTTTTCATTAAGACCTAAATAATTTTTGCTTGCGGCCCTCAACACCATGACTGAAACGTGTTTGTGGCTCCTATAAAAAAAAGGTTGAGTATGGCTGATTTAGAGTATATAGGAACTTGGATACTGTTACTATTCACTTGAATATTGCCTATCATTGAATGTATGTGATATACCTACTTCGTAGTTTGTTTACTTCAAAGGCCCGTTCATTGTGTGCAGATCGACTCTGTAACCGTTTACTACTTCATTGTAGCTTCAATGGTTCTCGTGAATTAATACCATTGTGGATATGTCATTTGTGAATGACAACTGTGTTTATTATCTACCTATATAGGTTTGTTATGATAACGGAGAATAGTTTTAATCATTTGCGTTTTTGAATTAACTATTATCTATATTCTATACATATAATAAAATTGTAACTAAGCCGAATCTGTACAATAAATATTTTTTGGAAAATCTTATTGAAATAAGCATTATTTTTCATACAGAGGCCGAATCTATAGTTTTTAGAATTTTTGTCTGTCTGTCTGTCTGTTACCGCATCACAGAAAAACCACTGGAGGGATTTTGATGAAATTTGGTATGGTGATAGCTGGTTATCCGGGTCAATTGGTTTTTGGTCACCTGAACGCGGGCGAAGGCGTGGGCAATGCTAGTCTTATTTAAATTTGAACTTTTTGATAAAATTTTATTATTATACAATCAACCTTAAAACTGATATGGCGTAGCATTTTGTTATCTTTTTTTTTTAATATAAAGCGTCTCGTGTAGTAAATGCAAATGTTGGCGGTGAAAACTTTGAATTATTTTACTGTATCTTATACAGTTTACTCACCCATTTAACAATAAAAGCTACTGCAAAACAAACGTGCAGATACTTAAAGCAATTCACCTTTTCTAGTAATTACTAGAATGAAAGAAATAAACTACCATCCACTAGATATAGCCGCGAAACCCTAGCGGCGATGCTTGGACTAGTTTTCACCGCGATGAGCCATTGTGTCTTTTTTAACATAATTGGTTCAGGCGTCAACAGTTTGGCACTTCATATGTTACATAGTCTAAACTGATATACAGATTTATTACTTGGTGCTTAGGTTTAAAAAGTGAAAAATAGAAAAAAAGATTGTAAATATTTTTTTTTGTAAAAATAACTTTTTTTAAATTGGAAATTAGTATTTTATATAATTGATATATTTTTTTTTTCATGAAATAAGTAGTACAATAAACGTTATAAGCATCGCCATGCTGTAGTTGTTGATATTTCATGCTTTTTTGTGTTTACTCTACATAAAATCAGTCATTTTTGTTTGACGCGAAGCAAATCATTACGCTCGTCACAAGTGACACAGAAGGCAACAGCCAACAAGCAACAAGACGTCAGCTGTGCCCATTCACACGATTGCGTGCGGGTACTTACTAAAATGAGATAAAGACGTTCAATCTATACGCCATCTACCTACCGCCGTGTTTTACAATATGCATAACTATATATTTATAAGTATGAGGAAGTATGTACGTGTAAATTGTTTATGCTACTATATTTGAATCGGATATACCTTTTAAAAGGCTGGAAGCTTAATACAATTACTTTCGTCCCTAGTTTGATTCCCCATACAAACATTTTCATCCCTTTCCGGGATAAAAAGTATCCTATGTCCTTCCCAGGGTCTCAAACTATCTTGCCAAATTTCATCTAAATCGGTTCAGTAGATCCCCAGATAGAGATTACCCCCAAAAACCTCACAAACTCACAAACTTTGCCTCTTTATAATATTAAGTATAGATAAACAAATGATTCTCATCGGACTACCTAGGAATACATCCCAGCGGAGTGAGTGTAAGTCGCTAGTAATATTTCTACGGACTTAATTTGACGATGATGCATCGTGCAATCCATATTGATCCAAATAACAAAATTGAAAGATGGTTCTAAAGGTACTTTGTATGGTTACGGGTGTTAAGGCGCGGCTAACACGAACCAAACGACCGTGAATGCTGCTCCATTATGCTAGTCAATTTGAAAATTCTGACTCATCGCTATCAATCTTGTCGTGTCTATGGCTAGGGTGTTTCCCTGCACCTTTGAACCTCTAACTTAGATCACACGACCTAGATACAAATATATATTTTTTTTTATTTTCAAATTTGGTAACAAATGTGGTAATTTACTAAGTAAACCCACATAGTTTGAGTTTAAAATTTGAGGAAGATGTATTACGTTCTAACACAAAAGTGCAACAGAAAAATTATCTACTCACACTTGCGTCATGGTGTTATCACATTGTGTCAGTTACCGAGAATTTACTTATAATAAAAAGGTTCCGTTGATGTTTCTAATGATTAATGATCAGTCGATTACATTTCTTACAAAGTGTTTATTTCCTATTTATGACGTGTGCTATGTAGTATGTACAAACGTAATCGTCATGTTTAATTTAAATATGCACATAGTGTACTATGCATTTTATTAAATGAAATACTTATAAAAATATATGGTTCTAATTTGACTATTTGGACCATGCTCATTATATAGAACTCTATATATAAATATATAGAACCCCCAATACATACATAGAATTGTTTATTGTTTATTTACATTTTAGTAGTTTATAATTTTTTAGCGGTCTTTATTTTTATGTTTTTTTGTTTAATTTTTTAGTTATGTAAGTAATTTTAAAAATTACTAATTTCAAAGGATGTTTTGTATTGTTTTCCGTTTTTCTTTATATATTATGCATGTTGAGTTAGCCTGTAAGTGAGGTGTACAATTTCTATCACAGATACATAAGAGTGTGCTCTACAATAAGAAATATTATTGTATACAACGTTGGCTTCCTATTTAAATAAATAAATAAATACACTGAAAAGCCTAGTACGCCTAATTCCTCCGTTTTTAAGTGTCACAATGGCTATTATGACATCGTTACTAACTTGACATTAAGGGAAGTGAACTCACTCTGCGTTTTATATCAGGTATATCAAAACCTAGCGTTGTTCCATACTCCGCCCGCGTAATTGATTTATATGTAGGCAGAATAACTCATCTTTATGTCTGTAAGTAAGAATTTTATAAGATTAATTTACGAAAGCTTTTAGACACCCTTAATTCAACCCTGTTGCAATATCCGTTCTTAGCTGACGTCTTCTACCTATAAACAACCTACGTGTTAAATTTCAGCTTTATAGGTCAAGTTGTTTAAGATTTCGTGTTTAGTCAATGAATGAATGAGTGACCTTTCGCTTTTATAATATATACATTATAAAGGCATTATTTATATGTAATTTTTCTACTCTATTGAAACTAGTGTAAATCAATTATAATTATAAAGCAAAAACATTCACACTGAATATTTACTTGAGTAAACATGCAAAGTAATATCTGTAGAATTATAGCTCACGAAACTTCAATTATTAAAGGTGGTCTAAAAGCCTTAAGGTTCTTGTCTGGTCGTAGAGGTTAGCGCTCAACAGGCATTTTACAAACATGTATTCACTATGCGTATTCATAATTGATATTATCTTACTACTACTTTAAATGCAAAAGTTTGGATGTGTGACTGTTTGTTACTCAATCACGCCAGAACGGCTTAACGGATTTGGATGAAATTTAGCACAGAGATAGATTATAGTCTGGAATAGCACATGGGTCACTTTTTATCCCGGAAAAAAGTGAAGTTCCTGTGGGATAGATTTGTTTTTCACAGAGCAAGGGGTTGACTATCTATTCCATACCAACCGTTTATTATCGTTATTAAATCTGTAATGATTTCATTTAATTACGTGGCTATTCTAATAACCTAGTTTATATTTTATCGAGTAACTTTTAAGCTTAAGTTCAAAAAAAAATTAAGAATTACTTTAAAAATTCCATTTGAACGGTATTAAATTACAACATGTATCATATGCCTAATATAAGGTTTCCACCGTACTTTACTAACACATTGTTGTTCATGCACCATAATTCACGTTTGTTTTCTCTTGCTGCAGCCGAACGAAGGAGCGGACAATCAGGTAGAGCATTCCGCAACTATGTGTTTACTTTGTGTTGTCTTTGTTCATTGCATTGTTTTGTTCTTTGTGTGCTTGTGTAACTAACCTCGTATTGTCAACTTTTTGTATTTAGATTCTTTGGTGCAAAACTAAGAAAATTAAAACTTTCATATTTTCCATCTATTTTTCTGTTTCTATTATATAAGTTTATGTACATATATGGTACACACTAAAATATGTATGTATGTACGCATAGAGCTTTGTTATAAATATACGTTAGGTCTATGTAATGTGGCTTAGCATAATATGTTGAAAGGCTGTATAAAAATGTAAAGCTCTTTGAAGTGCCCTATTATAACCTATTTATAACGCTCTTTATGAAATCTTATAAATATATTATTCTATATCAAGTCACACAGTTATGTAAATAAAATTCATTTAATTATTCAAATTATCTTTACATATTAATTTAATTTTTCTTTAAATGTATTCATCTTATGTTTAATTAATATAATCTATACATATAATTAAATTCTAACCAAGTCGAATCTGTACATTAAATATTTTTTGGGAAATCTAATTGAAATAGACATTATTATCGATACAGAGTCCGAATCTATAGTTTTTAGAATTTTTGTCTGTCTGTCTGTCTGTCTGTCTGTCTGTCTGTCTGTCTGTTACCGTATCACGGGAAAACTACTGGACAGATTTTGATGAAATTTGGTATGATGATAGCTGGTTATCCGGGTCAACATATACGATACTGTTTACCGCGGGAAAATATCTCATTTCTGAGAAAAAATACAAAAATTGCATTGTAAGAGTATACTAATATGTGAAACCTAAGAATTTGGTTTTTGGTCATATGAACGCGGGCGGACCCGCGAGCGTTGTTAGTTATTTAATATGTATACTATATAATTCCGTTCTCTTCAACAGTTATTCACTGCAAGTGTAACACATCTTCATGATGCACGTCGCTCCCAGCCGCCCGACTCGGGCTTTTCCGAGCCGGTCAACAATAACATTAGCGAGGATAACAACAATGGCCCGATTTCCCTGCGGGAGATGCAAAACATTGCGAACAACAATGCAGCAGCCTACATCGTTAGTGAAAATGAAGAAAGAAACCGTATAAGTCGAGACTCTGTTGTTGAATTTGAACCACTCCCAACTGAAATTAGGGTAGTTGACCCGCTAGAGAGATGTGCAGACTGGTTTGGTAAGTTTCTTTCTTTAAAATATATCAATATATCTCTCTAAGAAACTTAGCTATCTACACCAGACAAATCTTTCTAAAGATCGTTTTAAATGTGTCTTATATTAATTTCGCTATTCGCTTATTATCGATATTGAAATAACTTACATTGCCATAATAGTTTCTTAGATTTACGCGAATATTTGACATTTTAAATAAAACTATCTCTTTGGATATCTTCGCGGATTTGTTTAGACTGCAGACGGCAGTCTCTCCCGTGACCATGATTGCTGTAAAGCGTTCGAAACGCCGATAACCAAAAATCAAAATAAATCTGCAAAAAATCCGCAAAAATACTTTTATTTACTTTTCCTTAAAATGAAATGTCGCCATTGCATACATATATTGAAATTGCAATACAAATAAGTAATACTCGTACGTAAGTACATATACCAATAATGATTTATCTTATTATAATCGGTAACTTAACAAATAATGATCTTTGTATGTGAACACAGAGACAGCTCAGTGTCTGCGACAAGCGATACTTAGAAATGACGAAGAAAATGGATACTTATGTCATATTGTTGCAAATTAATGACTACTTTGAACTTATATTTATGTTTATATTACCTACTTGCTTATATTTTCTTTGTGCGATTTCCTTCATAGTTGGTCAAATAAATGTGATCTAATGGACCGACATGATAAATTACGTTTATTGGTTTAAATCGTATAGATTATTATAACTAAGCATGTGATTTCTTCTATAAATAAATAAATAAAAAAGTTGCAACTAATAGCATTTTTTTTTCACTACAGCTGGAGAAGACTTCCCAAGAAACCAGTTACAGTATCTTCGAGAAATTGGTCGAGGATGGTTTGGCAGAGTAAGTTTTAATATATCCTCTGTAATTTATAAAATTAATTGTCTTAATATACTATAACTAAAAAAAACGAGTGAGTGTGTACTTGTGTATGCACGTAAGAAGTTATAATTCTTTGGCGTAACAGAACAAAAATAGCTAAAGATTTCATCTCGTATATCACAACTCTCTTTTTGTAAAAGGAATGCAGCCAACTTCATCATGTCGCTTTTTGGCTGTCGGTGTGCACGTGTATCGTAAAAATTTTACTCTCATATTTTTTTCCAAACGTGCCAACAATAGTATAATTTTAAAATATTGTCTTTTTTATACAACTTTTCTTAATTCCCGTTCCTTTCAAGGTGGTAGAAGGCGAAATAGAAGATGGACCCAGTATGACCACAGTCGCTGTCAAGATTCTCAATCAGAACGCAAGTCTTGAAGATAAAGCGCGGTTTCTAGACGAAGCCCGTCTATACAGAGATGTGAATCACGAAAACATCTTAGGATTTGTAGCCAAATGTTTGCAAGAAGATCCCTGGATACTCATTTTCGAACTGTGCTCAATGGTGTGTATCGAAAATAAGAAAATTTAGGTTAATCCCAAGATTTATTTACATGTTTATATCAACTGTTCTCTTTTGGCAGGATCTCCAACAATACCTAGTAGTGAACCGTCCAAAAATGGCCATTTTGAACGAGAGCGGGGTCCCGTTACAGCTAATGAGTGACGTCACGTCCGCCCTTACTTATATGCACTCGAGAGGCTTCATATACGGGTTGGTATTATATATAATTGCTTCAAGATATTTTAACACTTAATATCTTCAAGGTAATTAAAATCAAATATATGTATTTTGAGATGTTGTGAGAAACTAACCAGTTTTTATAATTATATCTTATAATGTTATTTGTATACGAGATTTATTTTTTATATACCAGTAGATATTTATTTACATATATATTACATACATAGTACTTTTGGTATAATGTTAGATCATTTTTTTTCGTAAATATGAATATTAGCACAGATAGAAAATATTTGTTACATGCTTGATTGGCAAGATTTGAATTTTTTGCTTATTTTCGTCAACTTAAATTCTTAGAAACTTTTCAAATTGAAATGTATATATATCTTTTTAATATGAAATGGTAATTCTATTTTTTTCGTACACGCAACGTCTCATTGTCTTATCATTTTAATAATTGCTAAATTATAAAAAATAATAATTCTTATTCTAAGAGATCTACGTTGAAACAGATAAATGATAACTTGATTTGGGTTCCTTTAAGATATAAGCAGTCTATAATCTATGGTCAATAAATTCTTTTTTCTTAAGAAAAAAAATAAAAAAAAATTGGATCATAGTAGTTTTATGTAATATATATATATTTAATATATATATATATATATATATATATATATATATATATATATATATATATATATATATATATATAATTATGTATAACTACTATTATAATAGATTGATGATGATGAGAATTATTTGTCTTTGTTATGTTTTTTTTCATTGAGTAATTACAAAACACTCACAGTGACTAATTGAATTCTTAAAATTAAGTAGCTCATTAAGTGTGACTCTAAAAATAAAATAATAAATATAAATAGTCCATGACCTAGAGTGACATTTACTACTGGCAGTTTCAAAATTTGCTGCAACAAGGGACAAGCTTGCGAGAATCGAGGTTAAGTTCCTTAAAATAAAGTTTATTTGCCAAATATACAATATGTACAATGTACATATATATTATATATAATACAATAAGGCATCTTATGTAACATTTTACACCTGCAGGTATCTCTGGAGCGGCAACGTGTTGGTCCGCGGTTCAGACAACCCTCGCGCGATCATAGGACACTACGTAAGGAACGAGCCACAGCATGACTACCAAGCGCCTGAAACAACGAGGAATCAAACTGTACATACTGTGAGTTTGCTCATTTATAATACTATTTTTGCGCATGCAATTTGTTGTTAAATATTTTTGTGTTAAGTTATTTGTAGGTACTCTTTCGTAGGACTCAAAATAATTGATTCAATATCTATATTTTTTTAAATGTTTTCTGTTTTAGTACATTTAACATATTTATGTCATTTTTCATAGTTTTTCAAATATTAAACATTCAAGTTTTTATTTTTGTGTTGTATTATATATTCATATTAAAAACTAGCGACTCATTCGCTTCGTTCGGGTTCGTCCCTAGGTACGTTTTAATTTTTTTGAGTGAAACCCTAATTCTTTTTCTAAAATAAAAGCAGCCTATGTTACTTCCTATAATATCAGCTATCTTCCAGTGAAAGTCCCGTCAAAATCAGTCCAGCCGTTTCAGATATTATCCAAAACAAACAGACAGACAGACAGACAAAAATTTTAAAAATTGAGTTTTTATTATAATTACCAGTATATAATTTCATGTCTTTAGTAAAACGCTGTTATTTTTACATCACAACAGACACTTCAATTTTATTTATCTATATAGATGTACATGACATGTATGTATGTCTATTGTCCATTTTTACATTCATTCAACTTAACAAAAATAATTAAGATACAAAAGCAATACCAACGAAACGAACAAAAATATACTATAATACCAACAAAAATAAAAACGAAAAATGAATGTTGGATTGTGATGAGAGAGTGTTCGTTGTCCACAGACGAGCAACGACATCTGGTCGCTGGGCTGCCTGGTGTGGGAGGTGTGCGCGTGGGGCGCGCCGCCGCCCGCCTCGCCGCCGCCGCCGCCGGACCTGCCCTGCCCTTATCGAAATCATTTGTGAGATTGTGTTACCTTATATAACGCTATACATTTACCTACTACTACTTATTTACTATACATTATATAATATATACGTATTGTTTGTTTGTTTGTTTGTTTGAACGCACTAATCTCAGGAACTACTAACCCGATTTGAAAAATTCTTTTTGCATTAGATAGCTCGTTTATTGAGAAAGGCTATAGGTTATATATAATTATGCTACTAAACAAGGGAGCGGAGCAGTAATCTTAAATATTAACAAATCGTGCAGACTTTCACACATTATTATAAAATGGATGTTTATATAGGAAGATTAAACGCGGGCGGAAACTCCTAATGTATTACATATATTGCGTTATGACTGATTGACCTTTTCTTAAAAAACATGGCTGTTGAAAACGTTGATCATAAAAATATTCCTTTACTTGTATAATTTATTAGACGATATTTTCAAAAGTGCTTTAAAAATCTAATTGAAAAAAAAAACATTTCATTTATAAACTGATTTTCATTACATTACAAGACAATATATTTTTATTCTATAACCATTATAAATTACGATATTTTTATTATAATTTCAGATATCAAGTAATGCAACTATGTTGGAACCCCAACCCCGAGGCGCGACCGACCGCGGCCCAAGTCCACGCTCTCATAAACCACCTACACTTCAGCCATACGAATTCGAGCAGCTCTTCGAAAGACGATGGCTATGCCAGCAGCGACTTCGAAGAGCGATGGCAAAGACTCAAACCCAACACCATACCGAAACTAGACGAACACATCGCAATAGTACACGCGCCATCGACGTCCATGGCGTCACACTTCACCGGCTCCGACCAAGACTTTGATAATGGCCAAACGATCCAAGACTCCCTCAGTGTCGAAATGGACACCGCAGTGTCGAGATCCAGTAGCATCATGTCCGATAGAGATCCTCTCTCGATTCAAATAAAGTCTGAGAGCCTCACCAATCTACATGGATCGCTAGAAGACGTTAGAAATATCTACCTCACACACAATGAAACGCCAGCCTTAGAATGCCATCAAGGAAATATAAACCTTGAAGATAGCAAGGAGAAGGAGCAAGACCGCTCGGACAGTTCGGTCGACCCGTGGCTGAAAGATATCATAACAGATAGTCAAGATGACGTCAGTTATTATAAAGATGTTAGTGATGTGATCAAAAATCTCGATAACATTCTCAATTCGGAAAAAACATCGAGCTCTGAATCGAGTCATCAAGCGAGTCCTTCGAGGGACAATTTAAGCTTAGAATGTAAGAAAGATTACCCGATTCAAAAGAGCATGGTGAAATCCCCTGGAATCAGTAATTTTCAGAATATTCTCGATATGGGTTTTGATTCGAAGTCCGAGAATGAGCCTTGTGATGATGATGAAGGAGATCGAGATACTGTTGGTACTTTGAGTCACTCATTCGAACGCCACAGCGACTCGGTCAGCCAGCAAACGTTAGAAAATATAACGCCAGAAACACCGATTAAAGATTTAGATATCTCCAATAATATTGTAGGCGATATCGAACAAAATTATGGTGAAGTAAATAAATCAACACATATGCATAGTGATTTGCCAAAAGAAAGTAGAGTAGATAGTAGTAGTGTTAGTGATGTACCCAAATTGAAGGAATTATGTGTAGCCTCAATGCCTAGTGTTAGTGATAATGAACAAGTGATTTTAAAACAAGACTGTCAAACATCATATGATAATAAAATTACAGATATAAGAACTGGTACAGATACTAAGTCAGTAGAAATTAGTACAGCGTTTATAAGCAATGAAATAGGATATATAGAAAATGAAAATTTTACAACTACTCAAACAGAAGAACAACTGGAAAAGATAAATAGTTTAAGTTCAGAAATGAAATTGCCCACAGATGTCGCTAGAGTAACGAAGGAGCCTTTAAAATCGCTAGTCAATCAAGGTATTAATAATACAAATACAAATGAGACAAATGAATTAAATAAATGTCATCTGTCTGCCAATACTACTTGCGATGACGAAGTAAATGAAATTAATAGTATTTATCAGGTATCTGAACTGGTTTCATCGTACACGGATTCTACAGATAATTTTAAATCAGAAACAGTTGCCACAGAAATGCAAGCTGATATTTTAATAGATAAAAAGCTTAACGATCTACCAGAAGAAACCCACGCAGATATTGCAGTTGTTTCAAGTAATGCAGAAAGTAGCCATTCGGAAAATATGTTAGAAAAATTTCAAAGTCCATTGTCGAAGTTTGATGAAATAACGACAAACGCTTATACTGTATTACCTTCAATATCTCACAACCTATTGCCAGAAAGTTGTAATGATGAAAACAACATTAGAAATGATAGTATGGATGTCGTTAAATCAAATTTAGCATATTATGATAATATCTTGCCAATAATAAATAAAGATTCGGTTCAAAAACAAGAAGACAAACTAATTATACAGCATGAAATTGGTAAAGAAAGAAATGAAGCAATAACCCATAAGCCTGAACCTACAACTGAAGCCATTGCTGACAGTAATCTCGCCGACGCTATTGATCATTGCAACATAAATGAAGATTTAATTAAAACTGATATTTCACAATCGAATCACACAACGCGGGAAAATATCGTTGATTCTTTTAAAGATGTAAGATTTGATGTTAGTGATAGTAAGAGTGATAGAAAAGTAGAGAATATGGAAGTTATTAAATCAGTAACCAACCATTTAGAAAATATAGAAACCACAGAGCAACCTGAAACAGTACAAAATTATTTAGATATTTCTCATACAACCTCCCACTTAGATGTTAATAATGAACAAACCTTGGAATCGATCAAACCTGAAGAAGTACAAAATAGTGATGATAATGTTGCATCCATCTCCCAGAACGAGTCGAGTATCGTTGAGGACGTGACGTTTAGGGTAGAAGAAGTGACTAAATCCAGATCTGATACTAATGAAACGGATACTGTCAAACACAACGACAATACCGTATATATGGATCTCATGAATGATACTGATAGTACAATGCTTAAAGACAGCAGCATAGATAATAATCTTAAACAAGTTATTCAGTCCTGTCTGGAAACGTCTAACAGTGAAGCTCCGTGCGCTCTAGTTAAAAATGAATCAACAGTGTACTTAGATCTCCCTAGTATTATGAAAGAAACTGATGATTTCTTGCAATCAGAGAAAAGTATTAGTAGCCAACATATAGAACTTAAGGATAATATGTGTACAAGTACGCCGAAAGGCAGTGATCCTTCCGTTGAGAATACGTTGGAACCTACCAATGAAACAGATCTCTCTGAGACGAAGATAGATTTTGTACCCTACTACGGTCCAGGAGTAACACTAACGAAATTGGAACAAAAATACGTGCCAGATAATATGAGTCCCTTTGAATCTCCCTCAAAAAGTCACCACACCGATACATATGATGAAAACAGTTCAGTAGTTTTAGGTTCATTCGAGAATTGCAATCTAGACCAATTTAAAGTTGTTAAATCCGTACCTGAGTTAGGTGACTTACCAAAAGAGGAACTGCTAGCGTTTTCATCAAACTTCAGTGAAATGAATCTCGAAACGCCTTCACCATTGAGAGACAGCAATTTTCTAAACGAAGTGCCAGATATAGCTACCGATGAATGGCACTTTGATGATATAGCCTCAATAAGTGAGACAAAACCAGAATCTCAAACACCAATTAACACAGATGAAACTGAGGAACAGTCATCCACTGAAAAAAGAGTATCCCCTTTAACGCCTCCAAATTCTCCAGGAAATTTTCTAGCGTCGACATCCCAACAGAAATACCTGGTCGATATAGACATTGATTCAACCACTCCTACCCAAGAATCTGTTGATTTGAATCAAATAGATCTTCAAATAACTACAAAGTTGGCGATGGCTGACAATGAGAATAACATGAATATCGAGTACTCGGGACCGTTAACTGAGGAGGGTATAACTTTAGATGACACATTGATAACAGATAATGACGCAATACCCGAGTCTTATTTAGCAGGGAACGGAGGTTCAGAAGATGTGGGGGAAGATCTAGTGATAGATGAAGAACGAATGAAAGAGTTGCGGAATGAGTTAGAGCTGAAATTGCCATTAGCCCAGGTAATCAATTTTCTTTCTCTTTAATATCTAATAATAACTATAGATTTTTCAATCACACGAGTGACACACATACATTACTATATAACTGCCTCGGTGGTGTAATGTATAGCATGTACGGCTGAACATCTGGAAGTCCTGGACTCGAGTCCCGGGTCGGGCCAAGTTTAGTTATTGAGTCTTTCCGTTAGTAAGCCTCAGTAACAGTCCGGAGTTGGGAAGTTGGCGGTTTTTCACCCCCGTGCCTCGGAGAGCACGTAAAGCCGTCGGTCCTGCGCCGACACTCTCACTGGTCGTGTCTCGTATCGTGCCACCGGAGTATGAGAGTGACAGGAATAGAGAGTGCACTGCGTACACTAATTGTGCACTATAATATCTCCAGCGCAGTTGGCTAGTCTAAATGAGATTGGCCGCGGTGGCCGAAATCGATCAGGAAGACATTATTACTACTATTTATGTGACAATTTATTACTAAAAATTTTTAACCCTACTTTAATAATAACATTTATCTGAAAAAAGGGAAGTATAATAACACGTGAACATGTCCGCCAGGTGGCAGGCATCGAGCCCGCGGTGCCGGCGGAGGGCGAGTGGTCGGAGCTGCCGCCGCCGCCCGAGCTCGTGCTCACGTACGGCGCGCTCTCGCCCATCGCGGAGGAGACGCGCATGCAGCTGAATGCTTACGAGAATGATGATCAGTGTGAGTTCCTCTTGGCTATTAATAAATATAACTACTTTAAGCAATGTTAAATGTTGTAATATTATACTTTTATCGATTTTCTTATATAGTAAAACAGGTTTATAATTAATTTGTTCATTTTAAATTTTATGAAAAAAAATATGTAAATAATAATTAAATAATTTCTCTCTATATAAGTAAACATGGAACGTTTCACTGGATTATATACGTATATTAATATAATATGAAATTAATATAAGATAATTTATGTCATCATTAATGTTGTGATACATCAATCATAAACATTAATTTCTTTTTATGTTATTTTAAAATTAAAAGCCTATACTGCTAATAATTATAATACAATAACATTTTCAGGGAACATATCAATCCGCACTGAGTCCTCGGCCTCGTACCCCGAGCCCTGCAACAACTCGACGGACGAGGTGACGGATCTGCCCACGGGCGCCAACACCGCGCCGCAACAGTCGCACTCCACGTACACTATACATTCTAAGGATAACTCTATTAATCATACATATACGATACAGAAGGATGGGATTAGCAGCAAAGAGTAAGGGTTTTTACGTGTTCATTGGCATTTTTTTAGTTTGTTTAGTGTGGAGCCTAATATAAATTCTTATAAGACAGGCTGGTCAAAAATGCAAAAATAATAATAAAAATATTAGTATGAATGAAAAAATATATTTAATATTGTATTATTTATTTACAGAATAACAATGAGCGCAGATAGCTTAAACGCGAGCCCACTAAAGAAAATACAAGAAATACAATCGCCAATCGATGATAAAACCTACAACAAAAACGATGAAGAAAAAGAGTCTAATTGCGAGAGATTGTCGCAAGTGTCACCGTACCTCCTCAGCCCGACTACCGACACATCGGCACCGGAAATGTCGGACAATGCAATTGGCCTGTCGACGTTCTCGAAAACAACCGTCCCCACAGACGCCAAGTCCTCAAAACCATCCGAAACCCAATGCTTGTCGAAAGCTACAAGTATCGATTCGTGGTGTTCGAACGACACGCTATACAATGTTGAAGAAAACTTCGACGATCTCGCCATGGACCCAGACTGCCCCATGGATTTTGAAGAGAAGGATAAGAGCGAGAGCGAAGATACACTCACACACAACGATGATGAGAAGGAAGCGAGTCACTGCTCTACATACATCATTCACGACAGCAAGTCTGAGATCGGTGAAACCTTCTCACCGGACTCGATCACGGCTAACGACAACTACACGTATACGAAGTTGAAAACAGATATAGTCACGCCATCTGTTGTAACGAAATCCGATATAAACGACTCAACTAAATCTCAAACGAAAGATCTAGCGTACGGCACTCTCATGTCGGGGCTTCCTTCGTACTCTAATTGCACCACTGAACTGGCTTCAGGAATGGACGATCCGTGGAAACTACCTCAGCCTGAGTTAGTCAGACGATCTCCCGTAGGCGATGATTTCAACTTCACGCCGCCCAACCAAATGGAAAAGGAAGAAATGATTGTCGTTGAAAGTCCACAAACTACAGAACCGCGTATAAAGAAAATGGATAGTGTGGAAATAACATGTCTTAAAGATGATTCGGCTGAGATTAATAAAAGTGGAACTTCCGATAGCCCTGCCCCTATTGAAGTGAATGATAGCCCGAATGTCCATTTTAGGAATATGGCAAATTCAGTGACAAGTACACCATTTTTTGTTACCGTCCAAGACACCGAAAATGTTGAACCCATACCGATGGATTTGCCTCAATCAAAAGCGGATAATTCCGAATCTATTTCCAGTCATGTCCCCAATTTTCAAACATTTTTTCAATCGGCTGAAATTCGACCGCAAGATATATCACCCAACATGAGCAATGAAGCCAACACCGAAATTCTGTTAGAAGGAGAGAGCAATACGTTAAGCCGTGACAACACTAGAGATATATCGACCGTGAAAACGCCCACTTATTCGGATTTTGAAAGCTCGGCAGTCACGAAGCCTCAAGACGTTCACTCAAGAGATAAATCAAGTCAAAGCGTGGAAAGTGGCGTTAGTTCCGAAGATTTTCGCAATTTCGAGAACTCAGTCAAAAACCGTCCTCAAGATCTATCGTCGTTGATCGATGCAAGCTCCCTTTTATTAAAAAGTGAGAGAAAGTCTAGTGAGCTCTTGATGACGAACGCAGATTTAGAGAGCATGAGTCAGTCTGATAGTCAAGTGGTGAACACACAACCAGAATCTCTGATTTTCTCACCTAATATAAGGAATTTATTTGAATCTCAAACCGTTTTCTTAACTGATCTCGAAAGGGAAGAGGAAACTGAACAACCTCATTCGATTATTATAACTGAAAGTCCTTTGATGGCTGCCAAGGTTAGCCCAAATAGAACTTTCGACTCTCATACAAAAGTAAATCGTGCTGACATAAACAGTACGTACGATTCACACGCAAGTGGTTATTCAAAAAATGTTTGGCAAACAGACAGTACGAATTTTGAAAAAGTTAACGGTCATAGCAAAACAGATAATCTAATTCTTGATTATCTAGAAAAGGATGACACGGAAAGTTTCACTATCAGTGTTGAAAAACAAGAAAAGAAAGAACAAGATTCTTTATTACCAGACAACGAGAGAGTCGTCCAACAAACTGAAACGCCAGTGTCAGATGAAAAATTTCCCGATACGAAGTGTAATGGAAGTAACGAAATGTTTGCTACCGTGAATTTTCTAAACGAAACGTTTGAAGAGCTAATGGAAAGCAATGTAGATGATAACGATCTCGGCTTAACTGATTTCAAAGATGAACAAGGAGTTAACTCTGAGAAGACTATCGAAACGGAATCTGAATCTATAAAACCTTTAGAAGAATCCAAAACTTCAGAGAAATGTACTGATGTAGCTCTGAACGGCGCGCAAGGCGAAACGCAAATGGCGTCTGTAACAGATGATTTTTTACAAAATGAAAAGAAATACTGTCAGCTGGATTCTTATTTTCCGCTTTTAAGTGATATAAGGTTTACGGGTAAGTTGAAATCATAATATTAAAATATCTTTATAAATACGTTTAACTTGGTCCTTAAGTAATATGGATTTTTTTTAAATATGAAACTATCTTTGAGGCAAAATTATTATGTATCAATACATAATATATAAAAAATTGTCTTCGCTGCGATAAGTTTATGTTTGTTTAGGCTAGTCTTAAAATCTACTGTACGGATTTTAATAAGATATTCACCAATAGGGACAGATTATCTGGTAAGGTTATATTATATATAATTTATGAAGATTTGACGAAAATTAGCTACCAGTATGATGATTTTTGTGATTAACTTGGATTAAATCGTCTGTTATTAGAGCTTCCTTAATTTTATTATATAATTGCGAATTTATAAATACATTTGTCGGATAAAAAGAAGCCTATAACACTCGGCGGTAATGTAACCTATTACCGTACGTACAGAGAATATTTCGGATTTAAACAAAAATATTGTTTTATACATTAGGTATCTAGCATTTAGGTTTTAGATAAAGTAAGATAAATATAATTAGATTAATATACATACATATTAGATATGTATCTGAATTCGTGTATCCTTCTTTCCTGCCACCTACAATCCAAGTAACTTCAAGGCTAGATTGAACAGGCATTTTTCTAGGCAAGCGTGCTCGAACCTAGACCTCATCAGCGCTTCCCAGCGCTGATTGTAGACAAGCGCAAGCCTATCGTTCAATAAAAAAAAAAGTATACACGGACATCATTAATTATGATTATAATTGAAAGCTATGATTTAATCAATAATAAAAGCCAATAATATTTATTTATGACTAATAAAACGACTCTTTATGTAATAATTTTTCCTTATTTAATCCATTGAGTACATTTACTTACTTCGATTTATAAGCTCAGCTATTTTTAAAAACAGATATTTTTTTATATGTATTTATTGTGATTCAGTAAAGAATATACAATATACATAATATGTATGTGGCTATTAAAGCAATAATTTTTGAATAATTAATTCTGTATGATTAAAACAAATTTCTTTCATTGTATTAAGGAAAATATGTATGTCAGAAAAATTTAGTGGTCATATTTGGCTCGTTTTGTTACAACAGTATATACATATATATACATTATACATATATGTAGAAGGTTAAAGTGAATTTGGATCTATTCAAATAATAGGTTTTTTATTAAGATTACAAAAAAAAACACTTAAATCGGCTTAGCCACTTTCATATTTCAACATATACATATTATTATTTTTTTGAATTTTATTTTTACATTAGGTCCAGCAACTGAAATAATGACGACATCCTTCACCCAAGACTCCCCCACCGAGCCCACGTCGCCCGAGTGCGAGCAGGACAGCAAGCCCGACCCCACCGCGGATATACTGAAAGAGTGGGATAGCGATAGTGACTCGCACACCACCAACTCTTCTAGCGGTGAATTTATATGGAAGGTTGGTATATATGTATTAGTATAAGTGTGTGTGTGTGTGTATGGTGTGTTTGTAGTGAATAAGGAAAGAGTGGAGTAGGGTTGCCAATACACTGTTTTTATATTGAGTGGAGACGCATTAATTACCTTTTTTGTTAATATAATGTAATATATCGAGAGAAAATAATCAAATACATTGAATGTTTTGTGTTTTTGTTTATATTCCTATCTATCTATAAGACTAAAAATAGGCAACGGTAAATGAAGTTTGGGCAAAAAATATTTACAACTACGTATAATGTTGTAGGTTAGTCAGATTCATCCATATGGGCTGTTTTTATTTTGAATTGTTTTTATATATTTTATTTTAAATTATCTGTCTATACAGCTAAATCAATTAATATTAAGTTTAATGTGATTAGTGCGTCATCACATCGCAATATAAAATAGTTTATAGCCCTAAAGCCATTCGTACTTTAAATTTGTTTTTTATAATTTTATCGATATATTTTACAAACCTAAGAAGTGAAAATCAAAACACTTAAAAAGTGATCATATCAATTATACGTTTAAAAATAAATCAAAAGTACGACTAGCTTGGTCTTTAAGGGTAATTTTTTTTTATTTAATTTTGTATATTAATCTGGTGTGGATTTTTTGTAGATAATACGTAAGGGACGAGGTGTGGTTTAATTTTTTTTTATTATTTACATAAGCGAGCAAAGTTGCGCGATGTTGCTATCGTATGTATGTATGTTCCAGCATATAATATTGGATATATACATTTTTTTATAACTTTTTTTGTTCTCTTTAACTTTTTTTTATTATGCATTACAGCCTGTGATGGGATATATTTATACAGATATTATTCTAATCTTAAATAATTTAATAAAATTTATTTCGAACTGCGGGAAAACAACATATCTGTTTATAAATAAAAGTTTTACGTTCGAAACAAATTTTATATTGCTTTTATATCTGAAATTATAGCCCCGCTTGTTTTATCTCAGTCCCTTAAAATCCCTTTAGTGGTAATATTCCCTAACAATATCTCATCTATAGACATGTCCAAACAATTGAGTGTAGAATATAACCAATTTATTATTAAAATTCGTTAAAAAGAAGAAAAAAGAAAAAATTGTTAATAATAATTTATATACCTAAAAACAGAAAAAATAACTATAATATCTTAATGAACCACAAATAATTAAATAAATAATCAATGAAAGTAATAGCAGTATATAATATTATATACATAAATCAATATAATTAACACTTGTACATGTCTATATAGTCCCGGTGTCGGTGTGTGCATGTATATATGTAATGTGTGTGTGTGGCGCTAGGACGGCGACGGACACGAGACCGCGCTCGTGCCATCCACGCACTTTGAACACGTGAGTTATACTTACTGCCTTATTGCCTGTCCTTCGGAACTGTGACGCAACTGATGATTAGGAGATTGGTTTATTTTAATTTAAATATGTGTTATGAGAATCAAAAGCTTTTATATACATACTAGCGACTCACCCTCGTTCCGCTCGGGTTAGTACCTACTTACGTTTTAAGGTTTAGTATAGATTTCTCAGAGATGACATACTTTCCCGCAGTAAAAATTATCTTATATGTAGACCCGGATTACCAGCTAACATCATACCAAATTTCATCAAAATCCCTCCAGTGGATTTTCCGTGATGCGGTCACAGACAGACAGACAGAAATTCCAAAAAACTATACGATTTCTGTATTCATAATAAACATCTATTTCATTAAGATTTTCAAAAAATTTTTCATGTACAGATTCGGCTTAGTTTTAATTTTATTATATATATTTTATAGGTGCCTAACTAACAATCTTATAAGTTATTATCTGTGTACTACATCCAAATCCGTCAAACCATTTCTACGTGAAAAGTAACACGCACAAAAATATTCGCAGTTATAATATTAGTCGGATTAATCTTCGAATTTTATTTTTTGCAAAATGTAGCTTAAGATAATAAATAGCTAATCTATGCGGATAAGCTTTATGCAAAATAACATCATTCTATTATGATTGATCATTAACTGCATAACAATTCTAAAAATGGATATAAGGTTTCAATTTTATTCTCTTGTTAATAGCTTCAAAGCGTGCCAGTTAAACACAGATTACTTCGACAATGTCACGTAGAACGAAAAAGACACGAAGGTTTCGAGGTTACACAGTTTTTTTTTTAAATAAATATTATCATGACTTTGTCCCTTTTCACATTTTTATTACATGTTTTGGTAGAATTATGGAGAAATTATTTGTATGATTTATAAAATTCGAAGATGCTTCAATAATATATTATACAGGGGTTCCTAATCTATATATATATATATATATATATATATATATATATATATATATATATATATATATATATAAAACAAAGTCGGGTTTTTTTACAACATTTATAACTTGAGAACTGCTGGACTTATTTTTATAATCTTTGTTGTGTTGGATATGTCTTCACCCCGAATAGCAGAATAACTATTAAAACATAGGAAAAATCACGAAAAAAAATTGAAAAAAAAACCTCTTTTCTATACTAAGCGTCAAAACGTACCTAGGGACGAACCCAAGCGAAGCGAGTCTGAGGCGGCAGTATACCATAAAATGAACGCAAACTCAAGTATGCTTTTATTATGGCCCTAGTAAAGAGATTTTCTTTTGGTCGTTCAGACTTTAATATGGTTATGATCGCCAGTTAGATGCGTCACTGTTTCGAAAATGTTTAATTTTGTCCATTGTCTGTATGTTGTTACCATCATCACTTTGAAAGCTTGTTCCACATTTAGTTGACACTTTAATTATATTTAGCTACCTATATATTTTTTATTTTTCATAATTATAAGTAGATGAAGGTGATAGAAATATATGTTGTTGTCAAAATATTTATTTTTACTCACATTAAATGTTGATTTCATTAAAGTTAATCATAAAACATAACAAATTATCATTAGAAATTACATACATACTTATTTAATTTGACAAATTCATAAATAAATGTACAAACATTCATCGCTTTACGTTTGTTTCGAAAAAGGTTCATCTAGTAAACGTATTCACTTTATAATATAGTATGTAATGTTCACAACTTCTCAAATTGTAATGTGACAGCAGCGGGACAGTGGCTCCCAACCGAGCGGCACAGACGAGGGGGCAGGCGAGGGCGAAGCACCCTCGTCAGGGTCGGGGGACTCCGCCTCGGGCTCGGAGGGCGATGAGGTAGAGTTCGTACCCTCGTCCTGGGACTGCCGAGCCGCACCTTCGAAATCATCATTAAGGAGTATGGAACAGCCTCAGGTGAAAATAAATAAAATTGAAACGGATTTATTTTAAAATTAAAAACAAATTATGAAGGAGATAGATAGTATATTGCATTTATTAAGTATTTGCCTATTTTTTCTGATATTTATTAATATTTTATTAATTAAAACGTGAGAAAGAAATCTACATACATATACATATACACATGTATACACTTATACAGTATGCCGTTATTATAGCTTCAAGTGCAGTGCAGTGGCTGTTGTAATGTTTTGAAAGAACTAATTTATTTACTGAGATTACATTCTAAAAAATAATTGCCAAAGTATTTTCCTTCCTCTTACCTAAATAAACTGTGTGATAAGCGCGACCAGCATTACTGTAGTTTTTGTTCAGTTGATTTTGAACAGTGCAGATGCACTGTAAGTCAATTAAATATTTATATATACATATATTAAAAGTCGAATCTGTACATTAAATATTTTTTGCAAAATCTTATTGAAATACTCATTATTACAGACAACAAATCTATAGTTTTTAGAATTTTTGTCTGTCTCTCTGGGAACGCGTCATGAGAAAACCACTGGACAGATTTTGATGAATTTTGGTATGACGATAGCTGGTTATCAGGGTCAACATATAGGATACTTTTTACTGCGGGAAGATATCTCATCTCTGAGAAATTTATAACAAAGAATGGAGTGAGGGTGAGTCGCTAGTTTATCATAAGTATAAATACTAGTAACAGAATTATAATTAACTATTTTTATTAGCTATAAATTCTCACTGAGATTGTTATTTTGGGTAATAAATAATATAATTGAGCAAGATTTCTTCGATATTTATTGATATCCTTTCTTAAGATTTTTATAACACATCAACTTCTCGGGAGACAGATTACAGAGTACAGATAATATACAACGCACCAAGCGGCAAGGGATAGAAACTTTTTTTTTAAATAGCAAGCAAAGATATATAATAGATTATACATTCTAAAATTTATCATTTAACACTCCCACTTAAATTTTAGAACTATTACAATATTAAGATTCAATTAAGCTTCAAACTAACTTACTATCTTCTAACAATATTAACTTTTAAATTTTAAAATTAAGCTTCAAACCAACCTATTTTTTAAAACAATATCAACTTTGAAACCTAACAATTACTTTATAATTATTACAATATTAAACATCTAACCAACCTATTATTTTCTAACAAGATTAACTTTTAAATCTAGTAATCACCTAATTATTATTTTAGATTATTACAATATTAAGCTTCAAATCAACCTATTATTTTCTGACAATATTAACTTTTAAATCTAATACATATTTTTATATATTTATATTATACCAAACAAAATCAGTTTATATATTTTAGAACTTTATCTCTATTATTAATAAATTTGCCAGAAGGCAAAGCTTTTGTTAAAAAGTCTGCAAGTTGATTTGAACTTTTCACATATTGGATATTTATGACACTTTGTTCTACCTTTTCTCTAATGAAATTATATCTTACATCTATGTGCTTTGTTCTTTTATGATAAATAGGATTATGAATGAGTTTAATAGCACTCTGAATGTCTATAAATAGAGTTACCACTAATTGTGGTTCATCAATATCAATTAACAACTGCCGAAGCCATAAAATTTCTTTGGCAGCCTCACTTGCGGCCATATATTCTGACTCTGTAGTTGATAATGCCACAGTATTTTGCTTTCTGCTAGCCCAAGTAACAGGCCCACCATTCATCATAAAAATATATCCTGTATTAGATTTTCTAGAATCAATATCAGAAGCAAAATCAGAATCAGAAAAACCTATTAATTCTTTGTTACAATTATAAGTAATACAAATATCTATTGTTTTTAACAAGTACCGAATAATTCTTTTAACAGCATTTACATGGTCTTTACTGGGATTATTTATATATCTACTAACTACATTCAAAGAATAAGAAATGTCAGGCCTAGATACAGTTGACAAAAACATCAGGGCTCCTACTGCTTCCCTATATGGAAAATCAATATTACTTTCATTATTATTTTTCTTTAAAATTACATTATTGTCAGCAGGGGTACTACAAGGATTGGCATCTGACATGTTGAATCTATTTATAATTTGTTTTATGTACTGTTTTTGACTTATAGTAATTATTCCATTATTTTTAATTATTTCCATGCCAACAAACATATTTAAATTTAACTCTTTTATCTTAAAACTTTTTTTTAAATCATTTATAATACGCAACAATAAACTTTTACTTTTTGACAATAATAAAGCATCATCTACATACAAGATCAAGATAACTTTGTAATTATTAAAATGACCAACAAAAATACAGTTGTCAGAAGGACACATTTCAAAACCATAAGTAGTTAGGAAAGAAGAGAATTTTCTATTCCAGCAGCGTGATGACTGTTTTAGGCCATATAAGGATTTTATTAACTTACAGATTTTCCTTGGCTCAGCATGGACACCCTCAGGCACCTCCATATAGACATCCTCTGACAACTCACCGTACAAAAATGCTGTTTTGACATCAAATTGTTGAAGTTCATAATTCTCTCGAGCTGCAAGAGATAATATTATTCTAATGGAATCAAATCTTGTTGTTGGTGAAAATGTTTCTTTGTAATCAACATCCTTAGTTTGTGTAAAACCACGTGCACAAAGACGAGCTTTGTATCTTTCTATATCACCATCTGAATTTCTTTTTACACAAAATACCCATTTTGAGGTCACTGTTTTCTCATTATTTCTATTTACTAACTTCCAGGTTTCATTTTCTTCTAGTGACTGTAATTCTTCGCTTATAGCTTCCTTCCATTTATGACTATTTTTACAGTTTATAGCTTCTTCATATGTCATAGGTACATCAAACTCAATGAAATTTGCTTCTTCATTCCTGTTCCTTCTAGGTCTCAGTGTAATATTACTTTTCTCATATTCAGAAATTATTTGTGAAGGTGGCTGGTATGTTATATCATTGGCATCCTCCTGTGTTTCTAAACTTTCAAAACTAGATTCAGAAATATTTTGGTTGTCTTCTGGTGAAACTGGTATATTATGTATTTCTTTACTTTGTTCTTGTTCATCGGTGATAGAAATTGAAGTGGTGTTTTTTCTCAGTACTGGTATGTTATTCTTATTAAAATGAACATTTCTACTTATTATTATCCTTCCACTTTCAATATCAAACATTCTATAATTTTCATTTTCATATCCTACTAATATTAGTTTTACACTCTTTTTATCTAATTTTCATCTTTCATCAGGTATATGAACATAACCTTCTGAACCAAATACTCTTATGTGTTGAAGGGCTGGCTTCTGTCCATTCCACAGCTCATATGGGGATACATCCTTTGTCTGGGTAGAAGAACTTCGATTTAATAAATAAACAGCACAGTTTACTGCTTCAGCCCAGAGATTTAATGAAATATCACGAGAGTACAACATAGATCTTGCGCTCTCCATGATTGTGCGCATTTCTCTCTCCACTCTGCCGTTTTGTTCAGGCGTGTAAGGCGCTGTGCGCTCATGAATTATTCCTTCACTATCCAAATAAGATTTAAGTTCTTTGTTAACATATTCAAGTCCGTTGTCTGTATGCAATATACGAGTACCATGACCAAACTTATTTTTCTTAAAGCAATCCAGGACATCACTTTTGTGCTTGATAATAAACACATGTCTATAGCTGGTAGCACCATCTTTAAATAAGACAAAATATCTTGCTCCAGATACAGATGTATGTTCTACAGGTCCACACACATCACTGTAGGTTAAATCACCAGGTTCACATTTTCCTCTACAAGATTTATAAAATGGCAAGCGGCTCTGTTTGCCATATTGACAAGCCTCACAAACAAAGTTTATGTCATTTGTTAACTTAACTGGAATTGCACCATTCTTGCTCATGTTTTGCACTTCCTTAAAGTTTAAATGTCCCAAGCGTTCATGCCAGATTTTCAAACTTGACTGTGCTAAATTACAATCTATTTGCACTATGGTTTTAATATTTACTTCATATAAATTATTCTGCTTCAATGTTGCAGTCATTACAACTGTATTATCTTTCATTATTAAGGCTTCATTGTACTTCTTAATTATAACATAGCCTTTTCTTGTTGCCGTGCCTTCTGAGAACAAATTTCTGCGTAGCTCTGGTACATAAAGTACATCTTCTAGAATACTTTGCTCCCACTTTCCATTCACACACCTATTAATTAATATATTTCCACGACCTTGCACTACTAGTTCCTTCTTATTTCCCAATCTCACAGTTGTATCACCACAATTCTGGCCATAATCTAGTAACTCACAGAAATAATCACGCCTGTGTGACATGTGTGCAGAAGCACCACTGTCAAGGATCCATGTATCTATATCAACTTCAGATTGTAAACATTGCTCGGCACTGAATGCAAGCATCTTTTGCTCTTGAGATTTCTTCTCAGACTTCTTTGGGACTCGACAATCTCTTGCAAAATGCCCTCTCTTGTTACAATTATAACATATAAATCGATGCTGATTATTTTTGATAGATGTTAAACTTTGGTGATTGCTATTGTGATTCTGAAATTTTCTTTGTGGTTTAGAATGCTTCGTGGCTACTAAAGCACTCTCAGACTCCTCTTCATTAGTCAAACTCGCTTCCTCATCTAATAATCTTGCTGTTAATTCTGAATTGTTTGTGAATGTGGATCTAATGACAGCCATGCCTGACGCAGAGAACGATACTTTGAAGGTAATGTGCTTAATATTTTTGTCATAATTGCTGTATTACTTATTTCTTCGCCAGTTTCTTTTAATTGTTTAGCTAAGTTCTCAACTTTAGAAATATGCTGTGCAATACTGTCGGTTGATGACATCTTATATTGATAGAATTTCTCATGCACCATCATTTTGTTCAGCTCCGATTTTTGTTCGTAAATTGATTCCAACCTTGTCATCACTTCCTTTGCTGTTCCACAATTTTCAATTAATGAGATTTGGTTTAGTTCCATAGACGAAGTTAATAGAAACATGGCCATGCCATCATTCTTGTCCCACTGCCTCGTATCTCCCACCGTTGGTTTTTCTTCGTAGATATTTAAACCTTTCGCTTTTAAGGCACAATTGACTTGAAATTTCCATTGTCGAAAATCCTTGCCATTAAACTTCTCAATTCTCATTGAATTTGTAACTTCCATTTTGATTTTCTATAAGGTTATTCACTATCGAAAACGTGCGTTAAGTACCTTTAAGTTCTGCTCTTTACTCAATTAATTACGAAGCGTACCTGGGCCCATAACCTGTTATTTTGGGTAATAAATAATATAATTGAGCAAGATTTCTTCGATATTTATTGATATCCTTTCTTAAGATTTTTATAACACATCAACTTCTCGGGAGACAGATTACAGAGTACAGATAATATACAACGCACCAAGCGGCAAGGGATAGAAACTTTTTTTTTTAAATAGCAAGCAAAGATAGATTATACAAATAATAGATTATACATTCTAAAATTTATCATATAACAGAGATAAATTCATAATATGATCAATATTTCATATAAAATATTTTAAGTGATATTCGTCTTTTTTTTCATTTTCATTGCAATTGAATTGTATAATATTCAGTAAACATATATTATCCTTAAAGCATTTTTATGATAGGGAAGCCCAAGAGGAGGTTTTTGCAATTACTTAAGCTGAATTTAAAATTGATCAGGACAATAAGAAGCGCGTGGTGTTCAAGCGGCAGAAGTATCACTGCGTGTACGAGTACCCGCGCGAGGCGCCCGACCCCGACGCCGACTCGCCCGCCTACCTGCCGGACTTCTCCACGTACTCTGGTTTGTTATATTTAATATGTTCATTGTTTTATGATTTTAAAATGTTAGCAGGTATATAAGAAGTAGAAATTCGTAAAATGCTCCACATGCCCAAATAGCCCTGATAAATGGGAGTACGCCAAGCATTGAAAAATAGATTTTTTTTTCAATTTCCGGCTTACTGTGACATTCTATCGAAAAATATTTACTACGCTCACCAATAACCTCAAAGTTTTCGAGGTATCAAAAAACTCGGTTTTTAACTTTTTCTTGGTTTTTTATTTTTAATTTCTAGAATAATCTTTTGATTTTCATGACACTAAGGGAATATAATCTTCAAAATAGATATAATAAATTGAAAAAAAAAATCAAATGTTTAGCCATTTCCGAGAAAAGTATGTTTTATGGTCTCGAGAGGCTGAAAATCACCCCCTACTTCAAGTAGGCGTTTAGATTAAAAAAAAATTGTTCAATTTTCAGATAGGGCTCATTCTTTTCGTCCTAAACTCTACTTTTTGAAAAAATAAAAACACTGTATGGTCGCCCTGTTAAATACACTTAAAATTTTTAATCTTGTCTTGTCATCATTATGCCAAAACATCCTTCTTTTCTTTTATTCATGTTTCATTTTATTCCATTCTTAAAATCATAACGTACGTCTCTTTTACTCTTAAAATATCATTTTACGCATACTCATTAGTCATCTTGCAAATCCCACATGTATATAACGAATTTAATGCTATACATGTTTATGTTTAGTGCTATATAGTTTAATGCTATATATGTTTGTTTAGTATTCTTGCTTTTTGTTCGATTTATTCCTGTAAATTTTAAATTCACTTCGTTTATGTTTTTAGTGGAAACTTTATTGGCTTAAGATTTTTGTTCAGAAGTGTTTAACTAAATTTTATTAACTATACGATGTATGTTTCCCAATGATAAATAAATAACTAAATAAATACTTACAGAGTGGGACCCGTCGAGCGCGGAGGAGGCGGAGCTGGGCTACGGGCAGCTGTTCGGCGCGTCCACGCTCGACCTGCTGCCGCTGCGCGCCGGCATCGCCTTCGGGGCCGGTGCGTGCTACTTGCTTTCTTCTCATTATTAAGTTTTTTGTTTAGATGAGATTAGAGAAATGCATTAATGGATACCGCATGTACTTTAGGCGGTTGTGTGGAAACACGCTGGTTAGAAAACCAGCTTCTACTTTTGTGTTTGACTTAAAAAGTTTTTTATTTATAGTTTAAATAACATATTTGAAGCTTATATGTTGATAAATATTCATGCTTAATTTATAATTGCAGATTACGACGAAGATTTCTTCATCTCATCATCAGCGCGTCCTTTCGAGAGCCTGGGTGTGATGTCGACCACCAGCCAGTTCTTCCCTGGCATGCACATCAAGCCCTCGCTAGAGCGGGACTTCCCCGACGAGCTCAGTGAGGACTTCCCCCCACCACCCTCGCCCCTGCCGCCCACCACCCTCGTGCAGACGCGCACACCCTCGCTTGACTTCACCACCCCTGACTCCGGCGTCGAAGACATCACCCCCGGTTCCGTCACAGATGATGATTACAAAAACAAGAAATTACCCGATTCAGATACAACGTCGTGGAGATCGATAGATAGCGCCAGTTCGAGCGAGTCAGTTAGCCCCAGCTCTCCCGGTGGCGAAGCCCTAGGCGGACTCCGACACACGCGAGACAAGCTCAAGCTGGACCTACCTCCCAGTCCACACATCCCCTCACCGCGACACAGCAGAGTGTTCAACTTCGTCCTCGACAAACCGAAACGACAACGCGAAGAGAAAGAAGCTGGTACCACCCCCCTGGTCATGACGGACGAGACACCAATAATAACTATGACACTACCCACTGCGAAAGAAACGCAAGACGATATTATGCCCGAGCCGACATTCTCCACGTTCGGCAAAAGCGCACAATCTAAGCCCTCCCAAAGTACTGACTCTGAGAAAAACATCATCCTGACCGATGATGTAGAGGAGCAGGTACCCGAGGTGAAAGAGGAGACTTCGAAGGATCCGGTGAAGGGCGAAGGCACCGTCCTGGACAGTGGCGATGAGGACTCCGGCATCGAGAGCAGTTCCAAGGCCACTTTAGAAAGAAAACCTACGCCGAACTTATCTTAGACATTGTAGAATAATGATTTGTTACTGTATATAAGTGGTGTTACGAATAGGGAGTCTGCAGAATGTCGCGATGGCTATAATTGATGAATTGCTTTAGAGCGACATTTTGAATCGAACGCCAGTTGATATTTGGTGGTGAATCCGTCTGGACGCTGACAGCGCTCCTCGTTCGTGCATCGTATGCCATTACACTTAGATTACCAACAATCTTTGTTAATTTATTAAGTGTTTTTCTATTAGTATTTCAATTTTTATTTTGCATGACACTTTTTATACATATCGAAAGTTTTTCTTACGGTTCTATTTACACTATACAGGTACTATGAATGAATTTAAAACGATATCTGATTTTCACGATCGCCCTTCCAGTGATTCTCAACACAACTAAGGTACAAACAGCCGTGAATTATTTTTTATTATATATGTAGATATAGCGCTTCTATTATGTAATTGTAATGATAACTTAGTTTGGTACTCGGCCGCGCCCACTCGGCCTACTCAGTTTTATACAGCGGTAGAAACTTGTACTTGCTAGATTTTTCATACGTAATTTTTATTATTTCATATGTCGTAGAGATTTAGATTGTATCGTATACTCTCAGCGTTCGGATACACGCGTCAAGAATGAAAATGTTGCAAATGGTATGACAGTAAAGTCTTGTACCGCGTATGCGAACTAAGTACTACATTTAAATATAGTGTGTAGTGTTTGTGACGTTACATCTGCGCACAATTCGCATCACACGTCTCTCAACTTTGAATTATCGGGAGTAGGGTGCAGTCGCATTTAGTCTCAGACCACCAATCTAATGTCCAACGTACCCTATACAGTATACTACGGCAGTATTCAGCTGATTAGCGCTCTTTTTTTATGAGACCAATTTCACACAATTCTCTTCTTTTTGAAACCAAAATTACTAACAAATTGCATGCCCAATAACTGCACCCGTTCGTAACGTTCAAAATTCAAAGCCAATTCGTAGTTAAGTGAAAGTTTATTAGATAAGTGATAGATGTACGAGCGGCGGCGACGCGGCGACGACGGGACGACAGGTCGACGACGCGCCGCAGACTATTTATACCTCTATACAATTTTAAACACGCTGTAGTATTAGTAACGGAGGTGTGCTGGGACTCGTCGCATGCAATACGTCCACGTCTCGACCTCGTGTGCAATTCTTCTCATTTCCATATCGCGTTCTAGTTTAGTTTATGTAAATATAATTTAAATTTATCGGAGAATTTTGTTTTATTAAGAAAATTTATTATTACGTACGTCTATCGTTCTGATGTTTATTTTTGAAGTGTTTAGGATGTTTCGTTGATGTACAGGTGTAAATACGCGGTAGGTGTTCATTTTGTTGCGGTTACGATGTAGGGTTGTTCTCATCGCTCGGTTCGTTCGCAGGACATGGCCCTTATATTGTCGATACAATTATTAGATTTTATATTATACGATAATCGGTTCGAAACTCTTTCCAGTACGATGGATTTGTTTAGATTACCTTTATAATGAAACGAGGAATTATTTGAATGAATTGTCCAATAATAATGGTATTTATTGTTTGTAAGTTGTTGTTTTGTATGAAATGTCGGCAGTATTTAGTAAATGTTTCGCATTGGAAGTCTTTTCATATTGTGACTTTGTCGAGTCTTTAAAAGTATTTATATGAAAAAAATAATAATTAATAAAACTTGTGACTTCATAAGACTTTTATTTTTATCATCAGTCAACATTACAAATATTTCATATTTTCTGTTATTTTACATAAATAAACGTCTGATTAGCAGCTTTTATTATTTTATTACGTCTGGAATATAAATATATCACAATATACAACTAAATCATTTTTCTTAAAACGTAAAACAACTAGGAATGTAAAAACAAAAATAATAAAATTAATATAATTCCTTAAAGTATGTACAAGACCTGAGATTTACATACACACAATATCAGTACAGTTCAAATATGACTTAATAATAACACTTGAGATTATTAGATTAATAAATAGCTGCTACAAAAATGATTCAAATATATTTATTGTATTAGAAATAGTTCCGCGGTAATCAATACATCATTTGTTTTCCTAAAATAATCATATTTCATTTAAGTTAATTTTAAAATAAAAATATGTCGATTTTAAACCTAAAAATAGCACATAGCCTTCTAGCGCATTCTTAAAAGACAAAACATGTAATCAATGTTTTCTACTATATTTTTTTATGATTGTAGTCAGCTTTATTTCACCAAAGTGACAATGGAGGTAAGACAATACTTAATTCCGATACTATTTTTCAAGGGCAGAAATTCTAAATACATTTTCTCCTTAACCTTTTACAGCAACAATGCGCTGTCATAACTAATTAGCAACTTATAGAAAAAAAAATTTTTTGTGACAAAGGAATGGATGCCCGAGGTTATCTACATGGGATCATCCCCTCCGCCAGATGATGACGAGGCCGGAGGCGTCACTGGTGGCCAGCAGGGACTCGTCGTAGCTGAAGCTCACCCCCAGCACAGGCGATGCGTGACCTGCCACATGAGAAACAATATCAATAAATAATAATCCATACTAGTATTATAAATGCGAAAGTAACTCTGGTACCTTTTCATGCTTAATCCGCAAAACCGATTTAGATGAAATTGGCATGAAGATAGTTTGAGACCCTGGGAAGAACCATTTCAAAAAAAAATGCCTTTTCTTATTACTTTGCAAGCCAAAGTTTTTTTGTAGTTTTAACGTAAACAAAATCGCGGGTTCTGCTAGTCTATACATATAATAAAATTGTAACTAAGCCGAATCTGTACATTAAATATTTTTTGGGAAATCTTATTGAAATAAACATTATCGAAACAGAGGCAGAATCTATCGTTTTTTAGAATTTTTGTCTGTCTGTCACCGCATCACAGAAAAACCACTGGAGGGATTTTGATGAAATTTGGTATGGTAATAGCTGGTTATCCGAGTCAACATGTAAGATACTTTTAACCGAGGGAAAATTTCTCATTTCTGAGAAAAAATATAAAAACTGCAACGTAAGAGTATACTAATATATAAATCCTAAGAATTTGGTTTTTGGTCACCTGAACGCGGGCGGAGCCGCGGGCAATGCTAGTATTTAATAAAGTAATGGGTACTAGTATTAATTACAAAAGTGTTTGTTGAATTGTCCTACTTTTACCTAGTAGTAGAGTAAAAGATTGATGAGATAGATTTATTCATAGTGATAACTGGATAATAGACAACTTATTATCTTCAATAAAGAGTATTTATGTAACAACTAGCGGCTCATCCTCACTTCGGGTTCGTTCCTAGGTACATTTTAACGGTTATTAAGTAGTATGGAATAGATATACTATATGATCATGGACGAATTAGAGACTGGACCTGACATAAAATACAAATGTATGAAAACTAGTTCAACCAAGTGACGCATAACGCACACAAAGATTTTATTACATTATTATAAACACTGATACACAATACAATATTTCTAGTGTTTGAACGTAATCGATAAAATACATATATCGATGAACCAATAAATGACATTTTAGACTTTGGTTAGCATAGTCATCATATTTTACATCATTGTAAAGATTAAAAAAATATTAAGCTAATTTAATTAAATAAAGTGATTTTGTTGATACTGTTATTGAACTATTTTAATTGGCAATTGATTGTCTCGGATAGTTATAAAAATGTGACACTGTCCTAATATTGCTCAGTTCCTAATAAACATTTGTGAAATTAGGAAAAAGAAAAAGTGATTGCAAATTAAAGTGAGTGTTGGATCGTGAAAGTAAAATAATTAGTGCAAGTGGTAAAGTGTTTTATTACAAATCGCCAACCCAGAAGTTTAGTGCTAAAACATTATTGATTGATTTTGTGTAATTTATGTGTTGAAATAAAATGATCTTTATTATTATTACAATGGAAAAATATTCCAAAGTATATAAATGTGGTATAAAATAAAAAAAAATTAGGTACACATACTAATTATAATTTTTGCATTTATATTTTTATTTGATTTAGAAAATATTTTTATAAATTTATTGTCATCAGATTGTAGGATACTGTGGTAAAAGTATTTTATGTTATTGTACTGTACAAATAACACAATTCGTTCAATTATTTCGTCAAATATCGATATATTTTTCGAACTTGTAAGCACTAGTCGATGTCAAATGGACTCACTCGACAGTTTTGTCATTTGTTCTGAATGGTATAATCCAGCCCGTATATGATGGTTGTCAGATGTCAACAATACATAGAAATATCGACTATATTTAACATAGTTGGATAATATGACATTTTATTTTACATTTAATTAATTTTGTGATAAATAACAATAAATGTAATAAAATAATGTATTTACAAGTGAAAAGAAATAGTGCTGCTTCCATCGTTATAGTTTTTACACCATTTAACAGAACATTTAGTCATTTTTGAGAGATGTTTTGTTTTTTAAATAAAACTATCTTTTCGGATTTTGTCGCGGATTTATTTGGATTTTTGTTTCCCGACGTTTCGAATGCTTTACAGCATCCATGGTCACAGGAGAGACTGAGGTGTTACATGTCTTGAATGTATAGTTGTTACAGACAGCCTACCCACAATTAACAAAATGAAAATTGCACCAATTACATTACAATATTTTTTAACTTTAAACATTTTTATAATTTTAATTATAATTGAATATGGAAAATTATTTATTTAATTTTGCTATTATTTTTATAATTATTACAATTTTAAAATATTAATTAGTAATCTATATTTAGTGTTACCATTATTATATTTATAACCATAAAGAAAAATATAAAATGTAGTATTAATTATTAAAGCCATATAATTGTTCTATGTGTAATTTAAAAAAGTTAAAATTAATTAAGGATAATAATTTTAATTTAGTTTGCTATTATTTAAAAACAACTTACTAAGCAACACTATTAATATATACTTTTACAAATGAAAAATGAAAAATATTAGTCTGATAAGCTGTCATTTTGATCTACACAGTATGAACTTACTACATCTGCCTGTCTGTTATGTTTATATTTATTATTTGATTTTATTATATTAATAACAGGATCCCATGACGATGGTAGTACCCAGCCATCTTCCCTATTGAAATTAGGATGTTTTTTAATTTCTATGGCTTCTCGAATCATTCTAGGGCGATATCGGTTTTCTTTCGCCAGGATTTGAGGTCTATCGAAGCGAATATAATGGCTTGGGCGGTCCTGACTATGTTTGCAGACGGCAGATGTTGTATTGCGACGGTGCTTCACATCAGCTATGTGTTCTTTGACCCGGGTTCTAATGGATCTCTTTGTTTGTCCGATGTAAGAGAGCCCACAATCACAATCAAGCTTGTAAACTCCTGCATCTTGTAGAGGGGTGTGGCACTTGACAGGTGGTAGAAACTGACTAATTTTCTTTGGCGGCTTGAAGTAAGTTTTAATTGAAGCTCGCTTTAGAATGTAGCCAATCTTGTCAGTGACGCCTCTCATGTAAGGTAGGACTGCAGGGACGCGCTCGACTGTGGCTGGTTTCGCTCGGTCCCTGTGACGTAGGCGCTGCACTTGCAACTTGTTGTCTCGCAGAACTTGCTTGACATGTTGCAGCTCTCCGGCCAGGTGTTGCTCGTCACAGATCCCGCGTGCCCTCTGAAACAAAGATTTTCCCACGGTAGCTAACTGTGAAGGGTGGTGGTGAGATTCACCATTCAAGTACCTATCAGTATGGGTCTTCTTTCGATACACAGTATGACTTAAGGTGTTATCTGGGTTACGTATAACTAATACATCTAAGAAAGCTAAAGAATTATTAGACTCCAATTCCATTGTAAATTGTATTTTAGGGTTTATGGAGTTAAGATGTACTAAGAATACAGATATTTTATCAGATGGTAATATTGTGAAAGTGTCATCTACATACCGCTTGTAGAAACGAGGTGTCACAGGTGATGTGTTTAGGGCGGTCTCCTCGAAGGCCTCCATGAAGATGTCAGCTACAACGGGAGAGACCGGCGAACCCATGGCCACTCCATCCACTTGCTTGTAGAATTCATCATTCCACAATAGATAGCCAGATGTAAGGCAGTGTTTCAAAAGTTCAGTGTATTCTTCTTGCATACTATTATCCCGTAGCTTTCTTGATACTATTTTGACACAGTCCTCTACTGGTAGGCTGGTGAATAGAGACTGTACATCAAAACTGACCATAGTTTCATTGTCCATGAGTTGTAGGTGTTTTATCTCATTGACAAAATGGTACGAGTCCCTTGTGAACGCTGATGTTTGTCCTCTGAGTGTTGAGAGTACTTTCGCTACTAGTTGGGCCAATTTATAAGTCGGTGTGTCGATTTGACTCACAATTGGACGTAGCGGAGCGTTAGGTTTGTGTATCTTTGGAAGTCCATACAGTTTAGGCGGCTTTGCACAAGATGGAACAAGATTTTTGACATCAAGATTCAATGCATCGGAGTGTTTCTTAATCAGCTTTTTAGTATTATTTAACACAGTGGTGGTTGGGTCTGTTTTGACCTTTTTATATGTACTTTCATCCGACAAAAGTTGTTTAATTTTCTCATTGTAATCTGATGTATCCATCACGACGGTGGCATTTCCCTTGTCTGCGCGTAGTATGATAATGTCTGACCTGCTGCGTAAGTTCTTCAACGCTAAATACTGTTGTTTGTTGAGATTAGGTTTGGGCCTTGAACTAGGACGTAACAAAGATGAAACATCTTGACGTATGGCCTCCATATCCTCAGATTTCATAGTATTTTTGCTGTTGCGCCGACACGCATCCCTTATGAGAACATTATTTGTGCAGTTGAAGATGCCCTGGCCAAAAATACTATGAAATCTGAGGATATGGAGGCCATACGTCAAGATGTTTCATCTTTGTTACGTCGTAGTTCAAGGCCCAAACCTAATCTCAACAAACAACAGTATTTAGCGTTGAAGAACTTACGCAGCAGGTCAGACATTATCATACTACGCGCAGACAAGGGAAATGCCACCGTCGTGATGGATACATCAGATTACAATGAGAAAATTAAACAACTTTTGTCGGATGAAAGTACATATAAAAAGGTCAAAACAGACCCAACCACCACTGTGTTAAATAATACTAAAAAGCTGATTAAGAAACACTCCGATGCATTGAATCTTGATGTCAAAAATCTTGTTCCATCTTGTGCAAAGCCGCCTAAACTGTATGGACTTCCAAAGATACACAAACCTAACGCTCCGCTACGTCCAATTGTGAGTCAAATCGACACACCGACTTATAAATTGGCCCAACTAGTAGCGAAAGTACTCTCAACACTCAGAGGACAAACATCAGCGTTCACAAGGGACTCGTACCATTTTGTCAATGAGATAAAACACCTACAACTCATGGACAATGAAACTATGGTCAGTTTTGATGTACAGTCTCTATTCACCAGCCTACCAGTAGAGGACTGTGTCAAAATAGTATCAAGAAAGCTACGGGATAATAGTATGCAAGAAGAATACACTGAACTTTTGAAACACTGCCTTACATCTGGCTATCTATTGTGGAATGATGAATTCTACAAGCAAGTGGATGGAGTGGCCATGGGTTCGCCGGTCTCTCCCGTTGTAGCTGACATCTTCATGGAGGCCTTCGAGGAGACCGCCCTAAACACATCACCTGTGACACCTCGTTTCTACAAGCGGTATGTAGATGACACTTTCACAATATTACCATCTGATAAAATATCTGTATTCTTAGAACATCTTAACTCCATAAACCCTAAAATACAATTTACAATGGAATTGGAGTCTAATAATTCTTTAGCTTTCTTAGATGTATTAGTTATACGTAACCCAGATAACACCTTAAGTCATACTGTGTATCGAAAGAAGACCCATACTGATAGGTACTTGAATGGTGAATCTCACCACCACCCTTCACAGTTAGCTACCGTGGGAAAATCTTTGTTTCAGAGGGCACGCGGGATCTGTGACGAGCAACACCTTTTTTTTTTTTTTTTTTTAATGTTGGGAAATGCATTTACGCACGACGTGTGGGACTCACCGGCGTAATACAGCCAGTACTACCCACTAAAACCCAACAAAACCTTCCCCCGTCTTAATGGGGCGTCGCAGGATCGCTTACGCATTCAACTACGACGCCCCGACGGCAGGTCTGCCGAAGCAGACCACAACAACCACGGGGTTGCTCCACAGTCCACTCTGCTATCAGAGAAGTACCAGGAGCAACCCGCATGGTACACTGCCCTCCGAAGAGGGCCACCTCCCACCGCCCACCGAAGTGGGCCACCTCCCTGTGCGTTTCTTGGCTTCGCGCCCGGTTGGGTTGCCGGGCACTACTGAGCCCCCCCACCACGACAAGGTGAACGCACGTTGGGGGACGAGCAACACCTGGCCGGAGAGCTGCAACATGTCAAGCAAGTTCTGCGAGACAACAAGTTGCAAGTGCCGCGCCTACGTCACAGGGACCGAGCGAAACCAGCCACAGTCGAGCGCGTCCCTGCAGTCCTACCTTACATGAGAGGCGTCACTGACAAGATTGGCTACATTCTAAAGCGAGCTTCAATTAAAACTTACTTCAAGCCGCCAAAGAAAATTAGTCAGTTTCTACCACCTGTCAAGTGCCACACCCCTCTACAAGATGCAGGAGTTTACAAGCTTGATTGTGATTGTGGGCTCTCTTACATCGGACAAACAAAGAGATCCATTAGAACCCGGGTCAAAGAACACATAGCTGATGTGAAGCACCGTCGCAATACAACATCTGCCGTCTGCAAACATAGTCAGGACCGCCCAAGCCATTATATTCGCTTCGATAGACCTCAAATCTTGGCGAAAGAAAACCGATATCGCCCTAGAATGATTCGAGAAGCCATAGAAATTAAAAAACATCCTAATTTCAATAGGGAAGATGGCTGGGTACTACCATCGTCATGGGATCCTGTTATTAATATAATAAAATCAAATAATAAATATAAACATAACAGACAGGCAGATGTAGTAAGTTCATACTGTGTAGATCAAAATGACAGCTTATCAGACTAATATTTTTCATTTTTCATTTGTAAAAGTATATATTAATAGTGTTGCTTAGTAAGTTGTTTTTAAATAATAGCAAACTAAATTAAAATTATTATCCTTAATTAATTTTAACTTTTTTAAATTACACATAGAACAATTATATGGCTTTAATAATTAATACTACATTTTATATTTTTCTTTATGGTTATAAATATAATAATGGCAACACTAAATATAGATTACTAATTAATATTTTAAAATTGTAATAATTATAAAAATAATAGCAAAATTAAATAAATAATTTTCCATATTCAATTATAATTAAAATTATAAAAATGTTTAAAGTTAAAAAATATTGTAATGTAATTGGTGCAATTTTCATTTTGTTAATTGTGGGTAGGCTGTCTGTAACAACTATACATTCAAGACATGTAACACCTCAGTCTCTCCTGTGACCATGGATGCTGTAAAGCATTCGAAACGTCGGGAAACAAAAATCCAAATAAATCCGCGACAAAATCCGAAAAGATAGTTTTATTTAAAATGTCAAATATTCGCGTAAATCTAAGAAAGTATTAGATGTTTTGTTGACAAATAAGTGCTTGAGACTGACGCAAAAAACAAACGACCAAGCCTAAAATCTCCTGGTTACTGAGAAGACCGATAAAGGTACGTCCGCTTATATGTCTAGTCCAGTGGTTAATTCGTTCATGTATATGATATATAGCCTTTCTCAATAAACGGGCTATCTAATCTAAATAAATAAATAATTTTTCAAATCGGAGTAGTAGGTTCTGAGATGAGCGCGTTCAGACAAACAAACAAACTGCCTCTTTATAATATTACTAGTATAGATAAAGCAGCAATGTTTAGGTATCACACATATCAATAAAATATTACATTAAAGCACTATTAAAGAATTTATGAATGTATAATACATAAAATTTGGGTATTTTGTGAGATACAACTTCTCAAAATTGACAGCATGTAATGTTAGTGGAATTATGTCTAAGAAGCTCATTCATTCTCATTAAGGTTTTAAAGTCATGTAGGCTGTTACGACTCCAGCGGTCGTGGTATAACTGGACACTGGACGAATACATTTATTAATCACACAACGGGGTAGAATACAATAAACCCACAAAAACGCGTTTTTTCCTAATATTTATAATGAATGGAGTATTGAGTTGCTAGTCTTTTCTTATGAGAAAGAACCTACATAGGCGGACAGGCAAATGAAGGCTCACTTTAAATGTAGGTATATTTTATTAAAGTGCGCATACAATAATTTAGATTTTCTCATACTACTAATAACTTTATTTTTGGTTTCAACGTCCGTAACCATGTTTACAAATTCAAATTCGAAACATCCGAACCAAAAAAAAAAAAAAACAAAAAATAACATTATTAAAAATAAGGTATATGAAATATTTCCAATACAGCATACCTTGTAGCTTATTGACAACGGGATGCTGGGCGTGGCCCTCGATGTCGAGGAAGTAGACGCAGGCGTCCTCGGAGCCCGACACCACGCACACGCCGCGCCGGAACGACATCAGCGGGCAGAAGGACGAGCGCACCGCGTGCGAGCGCTGCAGCGTGCTGAACCGCTTCTTGAGCGACAGCCCGCCCTCGCGGTCCGTGATCCTGGACGAGTCAAATTTAAATCATGTTTTTCAAAACTTGCTAAGTTCTCTTAGACATGCCGATTTCCCCACGATGTTTATTTATTCCCTTCATAGTAAATTAAGTGGTAATCATGTTGGAAATGATTCGCACATGAAAATATCAGAGGTACGAAACACGGGATTTGAACTCGCTTCACTCGGTTTCCCAAGTGAGCGTTACCACAGAGTTACCACTGCCTGTAACTTCATTCAAATAGACAAGCACTTTTGAATTGTTAATTTTACATTTTAAAATTTAAATTAAATGTCAGTATGTAAGTCCATGAAGAATCTACAACTGGTTTGGAAGGCAGTTCTGCTAAGAAGTAGGTATTAAGTTTTAAGTAACTTGCACTTAATGCACTTTTCCGTTCTATACATTTATTTTTCAAATCGTTTATAACGATAACTTCTTTGCACATCTCTTTTTTTGTATTTTTTTTTTCTTTTAAAATGTAACATTTTATTGCGCAATAAAGTGTAATTAATTGCATCTTTACAGACTAAGCTTAACATATAAGAGAATGGGTCTTAGGTTGACATATCGGCTACATCTCATGTAAAGAAAACATCGTTCACTTGGGAGCTGTACGGGAAAGGATTACAAAAAACCCCAATAACTCTACAGGGCTATATGGTAGATACATATTCGATATAAATCCATATAAATTATGTCGATTTCTGATTGTTACTACGAAAACCTATCCGTGGTTGTGGTGCGGTGTAGGATCACACAGGTTATTGGGGCCACACAAAAAGGTTGTTGAGACCACACAGTTATGGTTACAGTGTTCTACCACCAGCAGTACCGACCTGAACAAGTACAGCGAGTCGTCGTTGGCGCTGACGAGCAGCGCGGGGTGGCGCGCCAGCCACGGGCTCCACGCCAGCGAGGACACGGCGCCGCCCGCGCCCACGCGCCGCAGCTTGCTGAGCGCGCCCGTGCCCGACGTGCGGTAGCTCACGATCACGCCCTGCCCGACACACACGACACACTCACATTCTTAGTCCATCACCAGCACTCTAACATCTCATTGTAGTTAAAAATTGTGCTGTCGACTAACTCTAATGTATGTGAATTCCCAATTACCGATCAATCTCCCTTGTATCTTCTCCATTCTACGTGACATTGGCGAAGCAATCTGTGCTCGACTGGCACGCTTTGAAGCCATTAATTAACAAGACAATTAAATTGGAATCCCAAAAAAATTAGTCATTTTAAATAAAAGTAAGTATCTTTTAAGTATTTTGGAACAAATTTTCTTATACTACTCGTTACACTTGGCAAATGAAAGCTAGACGGAAAAAAGTATAATATTTCGACCGTCACTAATTTTTTTATTATTTACGTATTAAGAGCACCCCATGTAACGTTATCATAAGTACCAGGCGTTCATAAATGTAAAGAAGTGTACGTTATAATACATTAGTAAATAAACACTTATTACCTTATCATTAGCAGCCCAGAAAATCCGTCCGCTGGACTCGCACGCGATCGCCGTCACTCTCCCGCCCAAAATACTGCTGCCACCTGACAATTATTGAAAACACGAATATTTAATTTCTATTTTTTTTTTATTTAGGTAGGTATGTACTGTTTCATTTTATACGTTTTAAATGTTTTTTCAATGATAAGTAATTACACTAAAATAAATTATAAGGTTTATCTCTTGCCTTTTTAAAATTCTTTTCTTTAACAAATTCTTTTCTTTAACAAATTGTTAAATTTAACAAATTGTTAAAAAATAGATATAGCATTTATCCTGGCCTGAGGTTTCCCTACTACGAGCAAAGCCTCGGACAAAAACTAGTTATATAATTATTGAATACGAACCTCGAGGATATATTCCTGTCGACACGTTGAGAACTTCTACCATTCCTCTTGCGTTACCAGCCTTTGCTATGAGTTAAGGATCAATCTTAGATGGGGACTAAGAGACAAAGAAAGTGAAAATGATAGCTAATAGCCATCATTTTACATATTAATAATTAAAGGATTATTGTATCTACAAAAAAATTTGTTTACTCTGTTTGTTTGTTTGTATGAGTACTTGTCACATAAAATATATTGGACTAATTTTCGAATCTTTTAAATATGACGCTGACTAATGTTGACACGTTTATCGAAAAAACTTTTTTAAATCTTGCGTTTCATAATAACATTAAAATGGGATTAAACTTGTTTCCGATGTTTTGACTGGATTTATGAGTTGTAATCACGGGCAGATCTATAGAATATTACGTAGCTTCTCTCAGACATACCGATTTCATCAAGATGTTATCTTTAACCACATTAGTTGGTTATGTTATACGAGTATAAAAGGATATACATAGTATTATCATCAATTATGTATATATAAGGTGATGGTGGTGGGTCCGCCTATTTTGTGAAGAGAGAATTTCCTTCCTTTCCTACTGTACAAATGGCATTCCAATGGCAACCTGCTGGTCGAAGAGACTTGCGTCTTCTTCGGGTTTTCTTCAGGTGGATGGAGGTCCATTGAGGATCTTATAAAAGTGGTAATCTCGTGGAACCATGTCCGAGCAATAGCTAAAGACAGTAGGGCATAGAAAACTACTTCTCCAGCTAATTTCTACGACGGAATAATAGAACAACATCATATAAAGGAAAATAGTGAAGGAAACTGAGCGGACCTACAAGTTTCGAAAAACATGTTCAGTCCGCCAACTCGCACTTAGCCAGCGTGGTAAACTATAGCCTGATCTACCTCGCAATATTCAACACATCCTTGTGGAATGTGTTACACAAAGGGAGAGGGAATCAATAATGCAAAAACTTAATATTAATAGTTATGATATTGGACCATACTTAAGTATATTAGCGAACCCATTAAGTATTGATATTGTTAAAATTTTGGTGGATATGGTTTTGCAACATTGAATCTAGCTTCGTTTTTTCATAATATATATGTGATGCTGTACTTGGGTTAAGATACGATGGGACGGACATGTCCGAAAAGGATTAAAGTCCCGTGTCCAGCAGTGGGTCGTTAAAAAAGGCTGAATACGTATAAAAGGATACGATGACCATGTTGTTGTTGGCGGGCTGGAAGGCGCAGCAGAGCAGCGGCGCGGCGAGCTGGTCGCGCACGGCGCGCAGGCGCACGCCGCCCGCCGCGCCCACGCGCCACACCAGCAGCATGCCGTCCAGCGCGCACGTCACCAGCACCTCGTTGGAGGCGGACCAGTCGCATCCTGTATATGGTGTATGTTGTAATTACAATACTCATGTACATTTACACCTGTTTACTGTAGATATATCATGCCAAATATTGTATTATGTTTTATTGGGGATAATTTGGCAGATAAAGATGTAGCTACGCACAGAACCAATGAATGAGAGTAATATTTAAGCTAAAAACTATCGATAACTGTAGAGCATATTTTAAAAATTATGACATTGCTATGATTGCATTGATATGTACATTTATGAGATGGTTAATTTAATAAAAAAAATAGTTTTTATGAATTTTGTTGAATAATTTATTTAAAAATTGCAATGGTGTAAGATGTGGTCTTGTGCTTCTTCTGTTGTTATGCTGAAGAGTTTTTTTGTAATGGGCCACTTTTACTATATAAATTTTTGTCTTTTGCCTAAAAATATTTAAGAAAAGCATAAAGTTCATTTTTTTAAACGCAGATTAAGGTTTTTTTATTAGATAAGACATATTACTCTCATTAAATGACTATATATTTTAAAAACTTATTGCATGCTGTAACTTGTAAAGCTGAATTTGACTGAAAATTAACATGTCATTACAAAAATAAAATGCAAAGAAAATGATCTCAATATGATGTAGCAATTTCAATACAAAAGCTGAACACTTGATATGCATCTGTTGAAGGGAAATAATCTAAACTCTCTTAGTCTATTGTACTATTTGTAACTTTGCACTTTGACTTGCTAATTTGTTCAAGTCATTTGTAATTAATGACAAATAAAACGTGTTGAATATTACTTTTTTACATTAGCATTTCAAATTATATCCAAAGAGAACCTGGCGCTATATTTTCTTTATTAGTTATTTTATAAAAGAGAATGTATGGGTAAGTTAGACCAGTCTTACTTAACACTACTCTCCAGTGGAGTAAAATACCATGTATATATATGTTTATGAGTTAATTTTTAAAGAAACAAAATTTTACCCGTGACGGGCTCTGTGTGTCCTGTAAGAATGAAAGACACTTGGGGAGGCACTGCAGTGACGTCGCACACAGACACAGTGCCGTCATGTGACACACAGCACAGCTTGCTGCGGTCATTGTTAGCAAACTTCACCATGCTCACTTGTTGTGTATGCTAGAATATGAATTAGCATATGACAATGCTGAATATTATATTTACTTATTATACTAGCGACTATTCCTCGCTTCGCTTGGGTTCATCCCTAGGCAATTCTTTAAATTGGCATAACTTCAAAAATCTAAAATTCATTGTTTTGGGTTCTATTGCATTAATAAAGACTTCCCATAGTAGTTGTTCGCAAAGATCTTCCATGTACAGACAGCTATCAATTACAGTTTTATTATATATAAAGATTAAGTTTGCCCATAACATTGACTTCAAACAAAGAAACTTACTTAGTTACACATATTTATTTATTCTTAAAAAAATATAATCAAATGTTTTAGTGAGGATTATTTAGAATCGTTGATTAAAAATATTACCTGATCAAATATATGATGAACTCCAGAAAATGCATAATTTTCAGATATTGTCATATCATTTTTCTTTTTAGCATTTATAGTAATACTTTCTTCAACACGAAGGCTCGCCTGGAATTTATATGCTTCTTAGAAAATTAAGTACACTATTAACTAATTTTATAAACAGAATATAAATTGGTTTACAGGTTTAGTTTAAAACTTAACTACTGATATACTAATAACTATATTTCTGCCGCTCACTTTACTGTTAGATCTTTGCCTTGACGATGACGAACTGATGGATACATTATCCTGCACTCCATATCTCCTCTGCAGTAACTGGCTTCTAATATTTATGTACTTTTTTATTGTTTCGATATCCTAAAACATGTACCAAAAATATTTGTTACTTCTATTATACACATTAGCGATATCTATAAACACAAAAAATTTGTACATATTTACAGTGCATATTGTTTACCTTAAATTTTGCATTTTCTCTGAGAAGCTGGCTCCTTCGTCGTATGTATAAAGTTTCTGAAATAATACCAAAGTATAAAGGTTATGATGTATAATTTAATGTTAAAATGTTTATAAAGAAGAAACACACTGAAATTCGGATTTCCTGGTGCTCTGTAAGCGTTAAATCGTGCATCCAGTGCAAAAATCTGTTGTTGAAACGCAGCGGCCATTTTTAAGTGCCCATATATTACGATTTACGAAACTCAAATCATTATATCTAATGTAAATAAACAAACTTAAAATTATGAAATGTACACAGAATGAAAACAATTGACATTGAAGGAGATCAGCTGGTTTTGAGATTCGATGAGTATTGACATTTAGCACAGACTATGTAAAATACAGACTTATATCGAACTCATGGTATATTTTTGGTACATGTCTAGTGTACTTAAGTGAAATGTGTATGCATAACTTTATTTAAGTATAATCATTGAGATACCGTTAAAAGTTTAGGGGTAACCTTGGATGGATATATTTTTTAAATAAAACTTAAAAAGCAGTTTAAATTGTAAATTAATATTTCTATGTATTGTTCGATTAACATATCCAGAATCCCCTAAAGTGTTCACAACTTTTAAAGTTATGGTAATTTATACAATAATTATATACGTTACATCACGTCATACGTTTACGTCCTAGTTACCTAATCTTAAAAAAAAATGTGAAAAGAAATACATTCATTTAACACGCATACATAAAGAATAAACATATTAGATTTTTCTCCCTTATGCCACCTCTATCTCCCTTATAAATATTTGAATAAATGAAATGATAATATGTATTAAGGCATTTTAATTTCAAAGGACTTTGGTAGTATTACATTGTCAAAAAAATACGGCCGAATTTAAAACCTCCTCCTTTTTGAAGTCGGTTGAAATTAATAAATAAAAACGTATGTACACACGTAAAAAGTTATACTTCTTGGGCGTAACAGAACAAAAATAGCTAAAGATTTCATTCGTATGTCACAACTCTCTGTTTGCAGCTAACTTCATCAATCATTATGTCGCTTTCAGCTAACTTCGTCATGTCGCTTTTTGGCTGTCGGTGTGCGCGCGTATCGTAAAAATTTAACTCATATTTTTTTACAAAATACCTTTTTTTGTAGTTTTATTCACAGTTGCCCAAACTGTACGTACATACTTAATATCAGAAATAGATTTTTAAATAACTTTAATAAATACCTAATAACTGATTGCGCATAGTTTTGCACGTATGCCTTTAGAGTTCTTAAAAACAAACAATTTGGTTAATCTAAATTTTTAAATGAAACAAGAACAAATAAAACAGCATTCGATAATTTTAATACGATCTTGTAATGTTGTCTCATGTCTAGGTAAACACACATGAATGGCACCAACTAATTCAAAAGAAATATCACAATATCTATTCTATTTCATAACATTTACAAGAATACATAAAATTAACTAGCAATATTATTAATAAAGTGTTTCTTGTCATCATTAATAAAGAATGAGTTATAATTTTATATCTTTATGAATATTCAATATAAATAATACAATTTAAGAATAAAACCTGGCCATTTGTTATAAAAATATGAACACAATTAAATAAATATTCATATAAATTCCTCGAAAAATGTACTATAAGTATAATATTAAGTCGAAGTCAAGTCATAACTGGCACTCTGAAGATAATTACGGAGCATCTGCATAATACAAAGGCGATCCATCACACCCACTTGCGGCGCGTCCTCTGACACGGGGAGCGTTGAGGCCAGCGATTTCCCGGAATCCTTATTTCCGATTCCGAAATACTCGGCACGGTGATACTAAGAACTCTCAACGGGCGTTATTCTGGGGCAATGCCGTGTAAAACCCGAAACACGTAGCATTCTAGCGAGGCTCCGCCGTTATAAATAATCAGAATGCGTGAAAACAAGTCGCTGACCCGCGATTACTGCCTTATTTGCTTTTACTGGGAAGAAAGACTTCATCCCACAAAAATGGTAAAAAAAAACTAATTTACTAAACGTTTTACGGCCACCATATGTTTAGATTTTTTCTAATTTAGTGAAATCACTATTTAATATTGTAGTTATTAATCATTTCGAAACCCTCGTAATCTATTTGGTGCGCAGCGGGGTACAGTTTTTTGTACGTACGCGTTATAGTATAAGCTATAAGTTAAATATACTTAAATAAAACAACTGGAATGAATTTTAAAATCTCATTTAATGACATACCACCATACATCGTAACAATCATACAACAAATGTATGCTTAGAGACCGTTTACATATATTTTTATGAATAGACATGCAGTATGGACATCAGTTACAGCTATATACAAACGTTTATATCTAACAGACGGATTAGTGCGGCGCACCATTACGTTTATGAGATTATTTACTAAATTCTATTTCATTAGTCGTAAAATCTGTTAGGAGCTCATTTAAATAATCACTTTACATAAATAATTTAATGACCTAACAGTTTAAAGTTACTTAGCAGTATCCACTAATCCATCTTAAATATTGACTATGATTTGTTGTACCCTAAATTAAAGTATTACAAAAGCATCGCGATGACTCTATTAAAAATGCACAGAGTAAAAAAATCTATAATATGTAGGTCATTTAAATCAATCAGTCCAAAACTTAAACTTAATCTAAAATAAGGCAAGTATTACTAGATACACGACATTTAGACATATAGAGGTTTATATTTTATACATACATTTAAAACACCGTTATCGCTACTATATACACGAATTGCATCGTTAAAACAATTTATAATATCAACAGAGTTGCCAATCAATACATTATAATCTTAAAGCTAATCAGATTTTCAACTTACGTTTAGGGGTAGCTTACAAAATAAAATGGCATAACCTCAAGAATAAATTAGAATTTGCATATCGCTAACACAGAATACTCAACACTTGTGTTGCGAACGCAATTAAAGTTCACTTCATGTATTATGTATTGGGAGTATCTATGATTAAGGTGAATGGTCATTAATCACTCGCTCGCATTAGGGTTACCATTAATTTGAAACAGCCATTTGTCATATAAAGTATGTTTTAAATTGTGGTCTTCATAGTATTTAGATGAATGTTACCAAGAAAAATATAACATTAAAAATAATTTATTCGGTATATTACGAGTTAACGATTAAAATATGGTAACCCAAATGCTAATAATTACCAAAAAAATGAAAGGTGTTTGTTGAAATTGATCAAAATAACCCCTTTTGTGAAGTGTCCATAGAATATATTAAGTTTCGATTCATGCCATAGGCAAGAACCGGCTAAGATCTTGTACACGATTAAAACGTATATGTATAGTGGGAATATCCATAATTAACTTTATAAATACCTACGATCATAAATCTCTTTATGTCATTAATTTAAATGACATTATACGATTATTATTTATTATTAAAGAAATATAAATGAACATTCATTTAAAGCGTAATCGTAAAACGCAGCTTATTACGACAAGTAGCACAGGATGTTTGTAACATTGTAAAGCAGGATTAACGTGAGATTAGCCAAATTCAACCACGCGCCGACACGCGGGCACAGCTAATTCGCGGGACTAACTGCGACCGACTCCGATGAATACAAATTTAGTAAATAGTAGTGTCACTCACAAATAAAACGACGCTATACCAAATATATTATCGCCATTACTAAGAAGCGGAAAGACTTTAAATTACAACTACTACGAATAAAAATAAAATAAAAATATACATTGTAGTGTATTACCAAACTATCTTTTCAAAATAACAAATTAAAGCAAATAATTTCTATTTCTAGTCGAAAAGATTAAAAAAAAACATGTATATATTCCATAATGATAGGAACAAATAATTTGCAGACAAAAAAATAACAATTTATAGCCGTAATAAAAAGATTTCATGCTAATTTCACCCACGCTATATATAAACTTTTGACCGTCACATTTGTGTCGCAGCGCTCGCACATGTTCACCGTTTCTAAACGACGTCGCGTCGTGACATAAAAACCTTCAAAATGCGTTTATTATCGTATATCGTCACGGACTCCTTATTTAGATAGCACTTTTAAAAATCAACATGTGCCAGCAATAAAATAGAAAATATGCCAACATTTATAAACTTCGTACGGGACCTACACAACGATTATACAAATGTATATGAAGTAATAATATAATTTATTGCTCAATAAGCCTTAAAAGTATTAGCAGCCGCATTTTTTTTTTAAATGTCACATTACATCAACTAGTAGACTATACTAGCAATTAGCACCCTTCCGGAGGCACAAACATCACTCGATATTACCAACCTACGCAATCACATCTCGCAGATCTACCACTTTACGTGGTTAATTAATAAAACCTTTAGCAAACAAGAATAAATACTAATTTCAATATAGACCAACATTCGTACATAGTAAAAATACGCGTATTTCATTTAAAAACTTTATAAATACAAGTAGTAAAGAGTGCATAAAAGCGCGCTAAACGATTAAAAGGGCGCTGTAATAAAATTCCTTAAAATACGAGATATTCCCCATAAAAAAGTTTACAAGGAGCCCGGTGAAGTTTAATAATTTCAAGCGTAAAACATTATGAAGCTCGCGTTATCGTAAGATTAAAAGCGTGTTTTTTTTTCGATTCTTGAAATGCTAATCATCCGAACCAGTTGATAGTTCGCGGGGACTGTTGTTGCACCTTCCAAGAAACGAAAGCGAGACAGCCTGTAGTGGGAAATGCGATTATCGTAATAACCTCCCGGAATTTGTGAGCCCTTTTCCGATCTTTGTAAATAGAAATTACGCTTTCGTTATAAATTACGTTGTGTTCTATTTACATATATAGTTAGGCATTTATTATTTTAGTAGAAAACAAACACACCTTGTTATATCTTAAAGTAGTACTGAAGAGAAATATCGTTTAACTAGTGTCCATACAAATATTCATACGTATCCCGATTTTTTAAAATCATTCGTTTTAATGACGTTTTAATCACTAGCAAGAAACATTTTAAAAGGGATTAGGCGTTATCGATTCTTCATTAGTCGAGTTCCGAGAAGTAGCGATTGAGATATTATATGAAACAAAGTTGCCAGTTGGTAGCAACGCCACGGATCGATTGTGCAAACCTTTATCTTATATGACAAATTTTATGTTTCATAATATCGTCATATCTAATGCAAGTTATACTATTTTTATCAATAGCTAGTACCCATGATGTAAAGTAAATAAGGTAAGAATGCCGATCAAAAGGCAATCTTTTACAAATAATAATTTAAAGATAACTAATTTTTTCGTATGAAAATACAATAATAAAATAGATTAAATAAAAGTTAATAAGCTATGACGGAATGTTTTTAATTTTACAATCTGTGATAGTAAAAAGACCTGATTATTCCCAATCTTCGTCGCTAGAGGACCTTGGAGGTGAAGACTCGCCGGGCTCGGGTATGATGTTGGCGAGAGTGTGGAGCACTGAGCCGCCGCCCCTCTCGGCGCCAGATATGCCGCGGCGCCGCATAGACAGCTTCGCGTGCAGATCTGCCATCAAATCCCCGCCAATTTGCTTGGCGCCCTGCCGGAGACAAATAGTCATTAATTAAAAAACTTGGCTCGAACTTCGACGACACGTTTGGCTCAGTTTGTAGTGAGCCTACTTTCTGTGCCAGCGGTCGCGGGTTCGAGTCCCGCTGGGGGCATTCATTTGTGTGATGAGCACGAATGTTTGTACTCAGTCATGGGTGTTTATATTGATAATATTATGTATTTAAAGTTATATATGTGTAGTGTATCAACTATCTGGTATCCATAACACAGGCCTCGTAGCTTACCATGGAACTAGATGGTGTTGTGTTAATGTCCCAATATATTTATTTATTTATCAACTCCTGTTATTGACAAATCGGGAATAGCATCGTGTATAAGAGAACAAATTAAATTCTATTTGCGTAAGAAAAAATTGTATTTAAACAAAAATTCATAACATTGTATTTTAAATAAATATAACAATCAAAACATTCTGCATTTCATAGTCATCGCGAATGTCTATTTATCTAAAGTATGATGATAAAAGTTCGAGGTTAAAAGATAAAAGGTTAAATAAATAAACGTAATGAATTTCTGACGCCAGCACTCAATAGATACTATAAGCGTAGTGAGTGAATAATTGCCATTATTACTCTCGTATGTTATATATCAATACGATTACGTTGGAAGGAAGGTCATTGGCACCCGTAGACAATAAAGATGATAAGATTGAATTATAGGAATGGACAATATAAAAATATCGAATTCCAAGAGCTACAAACTTATCAATCATCAACACTATAAGCTTTCAACAAAAATGTAAAAAATAATTCCTTGAACTAAATAAGAAATACATAAATATTCCACTTTATTATAAAAAAAATACAATAATAAGAACGTGTTTGTGCAAATAATAAGTGTGTATGTATGTCATATAGCATAAAGCCTTAACTCTTATGAAGATATCAGGAGTCGGTAAAAATTTTCCATTGACCCTGTTCGATTGAAATGACCCTCGGAGGTCACGACAAAAGAGGGTTCTGTTACGCATATACGTTCAAACTCGTTGGCTTTTCAATCGTACCATCTCTTTCTAACGAGCCGCGGGATAAAGCTCAATTGAATAATTCAAGTAATAAACATTTGGGACCGAACCTGCTCTTCCTTTTTAAGGCCACTTCAATGTTATTTCAACGAGCGCTTACCGAGAAGCAAGCGGGCCGGAAAAAATAAGAGAGCAAAAGGCATTCTACGTAGTGCAAAATATAAATTCTTTAAATGGTCCAGATCATTCCAAAGCTGTGTCCAACAATTTGCAGTATTTTTATGTTTCAGAAATCTGAATTTACAATTTAATTACGACTAGATTATATATTTGCAAATAATATTTTTATAAATTTTAATAAATTTTTATTTATTACTAGCTTGCTAGCTAAAAAAAAAAATTTTTTAACTTTCTTCTATACAAAACTTGTCCTGACAATAACAAACACAAAAAAAAAGAATTATCCAGTTTGGTGCAGTCGATCGGAAGATATGCGCGTACATACATTTCGGTGATTCATTATTATTTATATAGAATAGACATATATGAAAATACACTGTCCCATCAGAATAATTTAAGTTTTTTTTCAGTACATGAAACTACAATGAAACTTCTCGTAAATTCAATGAACGTGCATTTATATAGAAAATTACGTATAATTTACACGTGGACCTATTAAAACTAACAGATCACTTAAGATAGTTTGTAAAGATAAATTAAGTACCACTATTAATTATTATATAAGGTGTTGCTATTCATGAGAAGGGCAGTTGCTGCATCATATTCCTAGTCAATTACAAGAAAAATTCTTTGTTAGCATTAAATTCATTTGAAAACAACAACCGCAGAGAATCTTAGAAATAATAAAAATCGAAATTCCCATTATGGCTGGAAAACACGTTTTCATCAATATTGATGTAATATACAGTTTATATTTTAAATTGTGGAGTTTAAGGAATAATACTCTCTTAGATTTACGCGAATATTTGACATTTTAAATAAAACTATCTTTTCGGATTATTTCGCGGATTTATTTTGATTGACCATTGTGACCATGGATGCTGTAAAGCATTCGAAACGTCGGGAACCAAAAATCAAAATAAATCCGCGAAATAATCCGAAAAGATAGTTTTATTTAAAGAGTTTAAGGAATGTTAAATTAATTTCACGCATGTGCCGCCGCAATGATACAGATAATTCGACACGGTGTATGTTACAAGTTAGTTTTTTAAACGACATTGTGCGTGTAAGCTCTTTTCGGAGACGGTTTGGTCGTACTGAATGGAACAATGAGCATTCGTCACGGCTCCGAAATGTCGGCTATAGGTTCAACACGAGCGGACGTGTATTCAGAGGAATTCTAAATAATAATCGATCGGTTTTAGAAAATACTTAGGCAATGGTATTTGGTTCCTTTGTTATGGTGTTTTTAGTTTGGTCACTTTGCATTCCTATTCGCTGCGATAACGTCACTATGCAGTCATGACATAGAATTTGTGGAAGCAATTATATGTTAACGTTTTAAACATCGTCGAAACGAACAAGTTTTTTATTGTACTGGGGTCCGTTACGAGTTTGATCGTGAGGTGACGAATTATTATCTACATCAGCACAACTCTTTTAGGAATACGATTAAAATCAACTAAAAGAACCATGTTGGTGTACCGTTAGTAAACATTATGTATATGAATTTTACTCTGCATTTAGATTTTTTGTTAGTATAGTATTAGTAGAAGCTTGTTTGGTTGTCAAGTCTCATTGGAGGCGCATTCAGCGAATTAACAACAAAAACAATGTCCACGCGTCCGAAAGAAACGTATATATTCCCGGGAAACGCGACACAAGACCGCTCGTGAGAAATGCGGCGTTCCGTGGAAATCGTCAATTTGTTAGTAGTTAGTAACAAGATAAATACTTGATATATGGAATAGTATACCATTTCTCAAAATTTGTTGGTTTTGAAATTATAGAAAATAAATTTAAAATGTTTAATAATATTTTTTTTATTTACAGTTATGCGCATTGTGTAATCTTCTCGTGGATAAAAACAAATGCTTCGCCGAAACACCAGCGCATCCGTCGTACTTACAAAGGCAGCATCTCATTAAAAACCGGTTAAGTGTGAATTGTTTTCACGTGCCACCAGTATCATTATCATAACAAATTTATCAGGAATTAACAATTAAAAAAATAAGACTGCTCTTGCAAGTTAAGGTCAGATACTATAAACATCTTTTCGACATTTATCACGCACATGTAGATACATAAAAAACTTATTCGACAATTGATACAACCACGAGACGACGGCTATCGATCGATCTTGATAAATTCCTAATTACTATAGACTGTAATGAATTCCATCACTACATTTTATACATATTGAATGTTAAAAAAAATCCCCACAATGTAACAAAACATCCATGGAGACTTCCGCAACATAGATATCTATCGGCATAGTTGAAACGTAACGTAAACTATTTATACTAAACAACATTCTTTTTACACTTAGCAAGTGTAGCCCACAATTCGAACAAACACAATGGGAAGTGATACCATTATCAATGCTATCATATCCATTATACTAGTGTTTCCGAGAAACGGAACAACATACAATTATCGTGGCTTCCTTGAACCCGTCTGTGATCGTTATTACATATACGATGGACTCGTTATTCTACACCACAAATAGATTTAGTAAAAACCAAGCCGTTGGGCCGACCAGTGACCACTGATAACCGCGTCCATTGATACTATTAAGACCATGAAAATCAATTATGGAGATACGACTTCTGTCAAGAGCAAAATTTCTTGAAAATATCCAAGCAACAGATAAACTTTAACTTTTAACTCTTATGGCCTTAGAATATATGTAAATGACGTTTACTTCTACTTCAATAACAAAAATCATGGCCAACGCAATGAATAAAAACAAATTTTAATCTAATTAATCATTATAATTACTCTTTCTGAGAAGTTTTAATGTCATCAAGATTAGAAGGTAAACTGAACTTATTGAATAAAGTCAAAATGTATATTTTATTTGAGAAAAAACTAATTTTGATGAATTTTCAGCGGCGATTACAAATGACTCTTACTTAAATGTTGGTCAGTCCAGAGTTCTGACATTTTTTTTTAATTTAAATATACAATGGTTATAATTAGGTTATGTAAAACCAAAGAAACCTTACAAATCAAATGTTAAATTTTATCCGATATAAGCCATCACTTCAAGCATAGAATCCAAAACTTTCGGCGCAATACCATACTGAGCCATAAAACAATAGATGTATAAATACTTGGTACAACCTCAAAAAATCCCAAAACCTTTCAGTTTACGTCAAAATTTGTTAGTTATTAATTGAAACAATGACAATTCAAAGTTAACAAATGGCTTATTATAACATTTTAAAAGTCTATTTTATTGGCCTCAATTTTAAAACTGGCACTAGTCCACTTTGAACAATTATATATTACTGACCGAGAAAAAATAAGAATTAACTAAAAGAAGCGTTACGCAAAATAAAACTAATAATAATTAACTAACATAAATAAAATATCCAAATACAGAATGGCTTACATTAGGACTAACTTATTGCAGTGTTAGGTTATAAAATATGGTCACCAAGGTTTATTTGCAATGTCTCTTTGTCGTTCGTCGTTTAGATAATATGCATGATATATATACAAAAGCTTTTCTATATGTACAATAGGGTTTTCAGTTTAACAATAAACAAAACCAAGTTTTTACAAAAAAATCTATTATCTTGGTACTCGTAGCTATGGCCACTCACGTTCAAAATACAACAGAGTTCAATTTCAGTAAATGATATATAACACATATAACACACAAAAAAGGCTAATGAAATAAACAATTCTTAAAAGACTGTACAAAGTTTATAATTTACCTTAGCAGGAGTGGATTCAACGGCGGGCCGTAGTTTGGCGCGTCCCACGCCGCCCGCCTGGCGGATGGCCGCCATGAGGCTCGCGTGGGCGTCCCCGGACCCAGACGCTGCGGGCACTTCACTTTTTCGCTCTTCTCTGATAAACAATAGACAATAATAATATTAATAGCCGTTAAAAATCTAATAAGGATAAACTGTACGAAGCAGATGTATGATATGTTTGAGACATTGAATATGCAATGAATGGTTATTTTTTTGTATAATCGCCCATGGTGGTCTCATATAAAACGGACTTTAAAGATATGCCACAAAACTTAAACAATTAAAAAAAAACATCAGTAAAAGCAACATTTAATATTCAACAGAGAAGTATTACACCCATTGAAAGCTAAGAATCTCCGAGTCTCAAAAAGAACATGATTCGTTTGATTTAAAATCGGTTGAATAATAATTGAATAGTACGGAAATATATAACGTGTGCATACTTGCAACCTTCAAAACAGTATCTACGAGATAATGAAATATTTTTACATAAGTAATCTTAAAGAAACCCATTGTAAAAAATATTTAATAAGACTTAATTACCTATTAGCGTGAGCAAAATGAACAAATACTCCTGCAAAATATAATTAAGAGGAATCGTTTTAGTAAAAATTTAACGTTGAAATAAAATTGCTAATGAGACCAAGACTGAGCTTTTGCCAGCAACCCATTATAAATGCAGATAGAATGGCTTCTTGGGAGCGACAGTGTATAAAGAACTTTATTATTATAATATTAATCTAAGGATTGTAATTTTAATTTAATATGGAACAGCTGGAAAAGTCTATATATTTTGAACTGTAAAATTTCTATGCAATGGAACCATAATTCCTTTTCTCCAAATTATTTTCTCACAATTTGACGACTCGATTTAACCGAACCTGTGGTCTGTTGAATCAAACATTGCATTGCATTGCATTTAGTTACCTCACAAGGCAAAGATTTCTATTTGAAATTCAGATCTTAGCCCCGGTTCGAGAAAGAATAAATAAAGCGCGTCATGGAATCTGCCAGGAAAGAATTTTATTTTATTTACTAGCGAGTTACCCTCGCTTAGCTCGGGTGCGTCCCTAGGTTTTTTTTTGAGCGGAACCCTAATTCTTTTTGTAAAATAAAAGTAGCCAAGTTACTCCTTATAACATCTGCCATTGAAAGTCCCGTAAATCCATCCATCGGTTTCGGAGATTAGCCGGAACAAACAGACATACAGACAGCCTTACTTACCGTATATAATTTAATATTCATACAGTAAAAAGCCGTTATTTTGACATTACAAACAGACACTTGAATTTTATTTATCTGTATAGAATAATTAGAGACTTCACTCGTCACAAATAATCTTATTTTATTTACTGGCGACTTAACCTCGCTTCACTCGGGTGCGTACCCTTTGGTACTTTTTACGTAATAAATCTAAACGAAATGTCCGATTCCAACAATTTAAAGAGGAATTTACATGTACATAATAAATCAATGAGTATAAAACTGTTCAGTTGGAAAAGTCAAAAGATTACTACCATGATACGAATGTCATCATATTACGATTCTACTTGTGCTTTGATAGACTAATTTGAACAAAAAGTGGTTATTGTGACGTAACTATAAAATAGACAACGTCAAAACAAAATTTATTGTGTGTTTAAAATCTATTTCAAGATATATCGGAAAATGACATTAATTAAATAATTCAAGACAAATTAGCCTCGCGGATTTTTTTTTGTGGGTAATGATGAGTAGGTACTATAAATATATAGTATACTAGCGACTCACCCTCGCTTCGCTCGGGTTCATCCCTAGCTTTTCTCCCAATACAAACTTTCATCCCCATTTTCACCCCCTTAAGGGATGATTTCCGAAATAAAAAGTACCTATGTCCTTTCCAGGGTCTCAAACTATCTTCTTACCAAATTGCATCTAAAGCGGTTCAGTAGATCCAGAGATTACCCCCTACAACGTCACAAGCTCACAAACTCTACCTCTATATAATATTAGTATAGATTATATTTTTATGAATCATTAATAATTTTCGCAGCGCACGAAAAATGATAACTTTTAAAAGCATATTTTTCATACCTTGGGTTACTTTAGTGCAATATCTGTAGAGACCTAAAATTAAAAAAAAAATGTAGCCCTTATTACTCGTTGAAATTGTAGCTTTCTATAGGTGAAGGATTTTTTAAATCTACTCAGTAGTTTATGAGTTAATCCATTTATAGCCTATAGATATAAATATTAAATATCTTTGATTACTAAATCTCTTTTATTTTTATATTTATACAGAAACCTTGAGTATTCATTTTAAAAAAATTGCTCGAATTTAAAAAATAATTATGATAATCAGTTCTCAATAATTAGCGAATACATCGCGTTATATTCCTAGACACACAAAAAAATCCCCCACCGAATGTAGTTGGTCTTGTTTCAGTAAAAAAAGATGTCTTGGTCATTGCTTAAAAGTAAAAATATAAAAAAAAATTATAGGAATTATAAGAATATTTCTAAAAGCGTATAACTTATATCTACATATAAATTTTTATGTTTTTAACTTTTTAAACTTCTGTATATATTTAATAACCATTATCTGGATAGTTTGACTGCTTAGCAATTATATAGAACCTACATAAATACTTAATACCGAAAGAATGACAGGTAAAGCCAGTAAAAAAAAAAACAGTAGGTACACAGCGTATAAGTTTATAAAGCCAATTAATTATTTAGTAATGCGGGGCAAATGTGGTACGCAGAAATCGATATTTAATTAATATTTATTTTATTACTCCGAAGGCCACTCATGACACTTCGTGAGCTAGAATTTGAGTAACATGATATAATTTAATATTCATGCGGGCGGATAAGCAATTTGTTTTGTTTAAAACTGTAACAACAACATATAATAGCATGTGTTTTACGTAACATAGTTACGGTATATGTTTTGTTTAGTAAAAAAAATATTTAAACACATTTTAAAACAAAAATGTATAAGTTCCACCTTTGTTCAACGGCCTTTAGAAGGTTAAATAAATACGCTACAGTAAAATCGATTATTCCTTTCGTTAACCAAATCATATAAAAATAACAGTAATGGGACCTATGTATAAATTAACACAAACAATCGAAACAGAGCAGTACTCTTCTTTTCTACCCATAAATTGTTTTTTATTCAATTTTAAAATTAAATTAAATACTATAAACAAGACCGAATACTAAAATATGAAGCACTAGCATTGCCCGCGGCACCGCCCGCGTATAGATGACCAAAAACCAAATTTTTAGGTTTTACATATTAGTATACTCTTACATTACAGTTTTTGTGTTTTTTCACAGAAATGAGATATTTTCTCGCTGTAAAAAGTATCCTATATGTTGACCCGGATAACCAGCTATACCAAGTTTCATCAAAATCCCTCCAGTGGTTTTTCTGTGATGCGGTAACAGACAGACAGACAGACAGACAAAAAATCTAACAACTATAGATTCGGCCTCTGTATCGATAATAATGTTTATTTCAATAAGATTTTCCAAAAAATATTTAATGTACAGATTCGGCTTAGTTACAATTTTATTATATGTATAGATTTAATTATAATGATAAAAGATTGATTTGTTGCGCAAGACCGCACAACTTGAAAACGTGGAGTGGATGCCTTTCCCCAGCAGTGGGATGATGTAGAGTGTAGACTAACAGTAACAGATAAAGGAAAATTGCATTTTTTATATAGGTACGTCTTCGTTTTGTGTAATATGTAAATATGAAAGCTTTGAATGGCGAGTAGTCTGAAATATTTCCGTGATATAAAAACAACAAGTTCTATTATCCATTTAACCAGTCACCTACAATGCAGCGTTTTAACTCATGCCATCTTATACTGTTAGTCACTAGGCAGCAGGCATAAATCGATTAACCGTTACGCGCGCTATCGGCCCTACTGACTTAATGCTCTCAAGAACTTGTTGTGGATGTTTAGACTGGATTTATGTAAGAGAATTCGATTTATTGAAGGAAGTTTACTATTTCTATACCTGTAACCTAAGCCAATTTACGGATTAAACTTTCTGATTTATAAAAGCACTGACGTACTCAGTACTTTTGAAACGTCTATTTACATATTATAGCTTAACTGTTGATACTGGTTAGCAGAACTCATTATAATAATGTCAAAAAATTATAAATATTTACAAGAAAACTCTTAAAGTCAAATCCTAAGAGAGACGAATAATCTGTACTAATATCATAAAGAGGCAGTGTTTGTTTGAACGCGCTAATCTCAGGAACTACTAATCCGATTTGCCTGGGGAAGGCTTAATAGACTATAATGTATCATAATGCTAATATCCAAGGGAGCGGAGCCGTAATCATAAATGTCAACAAATCGGGCAGACTTCCATACATTATTACTAATAGCATAAAGCCGAAGACTTTTTTTGTAATTTTAGTGCGAGCGAAGCCTCGGGTTCTGCTAGTATAATATAAAGACCAATTATATAATATAAAGTATACTCCATCCAACAAACAAATAATAATATTAATTTTGCAACGAAAACACAACTAATAATCAGAAATGTCAAATGACTAAAGATGCAAATTTTAAATTAATGATATCATAATAATTATCATGCGGGCATATCCTTTTGCTCTATTTGTGTTTTGTTTGTAAATATCTAGTGACCCGTCCGCGTTTCGCTCATGCCTGATCCCATCAATACTCAACTCCTTTAAGTGCTACGACAATTTGTATTACACAAAATATTTGTCTGTCCGTCTGTCTGGGAACACATGACGATAAAACCACTGGACAGTCTTTGATGAAATTTGGTATGATGATAGCTGGTTATCCGGGTCAACATATAGGATACTTTTTACTGCGGTAAAATATCTCATATCTGAAAAATTTATACTAAACGTTAAAAAGTAAGCTAGTTAAACACTAAAACAAACTTCTATAACAGTATTAGATAATTAATTACGTGTTAATTGTTGTAGTTATTAAAGCGTTCGTCTACTTAACATTACAATGTTTAAAGCATGAAACAAACTAGATAGATTATACAAACGTTCCAAAATAATTTATTTGTTTTCTACGAAATCGAGTTTAA